GAATTTACTCAAATATTTTTTACTTCGTTAAAGATGAACTATTTAAATTCCCTCCTGCGCACCCTTACTCGGTCAAGGTTAAATCGCTTATAACCAAGTTTTGAATACAAAGTACAAGAGAAGAAGAAAAAAGAGATTCTATTTCAAAATTAATGGCTACAAAATTTGAGCACTAATGGCTCATGAATACAAAGAAAACAACTCTAATTTTCCTCCCCTTCCTCGGCATCAGGACCGGCTACCTAGGATTAGCAACATTTTCATTATCGACGATTCGTCTTGGGGCTTCGGCATCAGGCTCCACATCATCATCAACCTCGTTGTAAGGAATAAACCTGCCGCCAAAGAAGTCCTTCGTGATGTCAAAATGGAAATCGGCCGGAACTTGGCAGAATCCATGGTATTAGCGAATTGCATGGTTAAAACCGGACTCATGTTCATAAGCGACTTGCTGAGAACACTTCTCGACAAAGGCTTTCATCTCGGTTTCAGCCCTTTGCTTTTCAAATGCCAAGGCTTCCTCCATCTAGGTAGATTTGGCCCGTAGGGCCTCCTCCATCTGACAAGACTTCACCCTTAACGACTCCATTTCCTCCTCCTTGACCCTCAAAGTTTCCTCGGAACCCGGTCCTTCACTATCCGGAAGTGCTCCTTGTATTGATTAACCTGACCCTATAGGGATTGAATGGTCTCTTTAAGACTGGCTTGAATCTCTCTGCTCTCTGCCAAAGCTTCTTCAGAAGCCGAATAGGCAATTTTTAACTTCTTAACTTCAAGAATTGGATCCACAACTAGCTTTCGGAGCATTGCTGTTAATCGTACATGAAGTTCTGCATAGCAGCGCCAGAACGATTCATATTCTATGCTGTTGACCAGTTCTTTCCCCGAATCAGACAACAGGTTAGGAGCAGCCAGCCGGCCGGTATGAGTTCCGGTTGTCAGGAAGCCCTCGACAAGCATTTCTAGAGGAACTACAGGGTTGGAGGAACTGCTTCCCCCCTCAGTAGCCGCGGCTCGAGTTTGCTTGCGGGCCCCCTCTACACCGCTCGGCCCACCCAAGTGGGCATGTTTTCTCTTTCTCTCCCTCTCGGGCTCTTTGCCTTTGCCCTTGTCCTTGCGTTTCTTGGATTGGCCTTCAGCAAGAACAAGGTCTCGGGGAGGAGGGCAAGGCTTTGGTACTTCAGGAAGTTGATCAATTTGAGGATGACGATGTTCCTCAATTGGTGTCCCTTTCGGTATTCTCTGCTTCAGAGTACGACGGGAGGTCGGTACATCAACACCGCGTTGAGCCATTAAGCCTGCATTAAAAATAACAAGTCAAATCAATACAACTTGATTCCAAATACAAGTTAAAAACGAGACAATACATATCCTCCATATCTCAGCGAGGAAGCAGGGACTTGAGTACGAGGATTACGTGTCGGGCAGGTAGATCCCAGGGTAGGACTTAAAAATTCCAAGTCTGATAATTCTCTAGCCGACAACATGTCCTCGGGGAATATGTCGTATCGGCGAGGTGCCCGAGTCCAATGAAAGGGGAAGAGAGGATTATTCTCGCTATCAAAAAAATAATTTCTACCTATAGGGTCCACGGTTACCTTGAAGTATCTGGTTTTGAAGCCCTTAAAAGACGAAGCATAAGGTTTAAACAAAGGCAACTCAGGTTGCCTTATTAGGGATACCCACCTTGCTAAGTCTGATGGGCGGGTACAAAAGAGATGAAGAAATAAGCCTACACTAGGTTCTATATAATGGAATTTACAAAGTATCCTAAATGCCTGCATTGCCGCCCGCCTATTTGGGTGAAGTTGTGTCGGCGCTACATTTAAAACCCTTAAAACTCCCATTTGAAAGTCATTAAAGGGTAGCTTAATACCTAATTCTCTAAACATTATTCATACATAAAGAAGGTGTCGGCCATTCCAACACCTCCCAGGAAAACAAAGTCAGGGTTCTCGGTTTCGTCTCCTTGGCAGGGATTGAGGTGTATTGGATACGGATCAGACACCTCCCACAAAGAAATATCACAATTATCTACAAAGAGTTGAAGACTTTTATTTCTCCTAAAACAAGAAAAGTACGCGACCACTTCACCATGCACCCACTCATATCCAGGTATTGTACAGGGGGGAAACACCTGTATTTCCCTTGGGGGACTAGTACTCAGTAAGGGTTCAGAAGCGTCAGTATCACTCAAAGAAGACGACTGGGCTTCGTTGCTGCATTCCCTGACCTGTGCTTCTTCAGCCCTCTTGTTTGATATAGATGAAACATCGCTACTCCCCTCGGTTCTGTTCATAATGTCTACTTCGACAGTATTCGGTCCCGAGACATCAGACAGAGAATCCTCCCACTCAATAGGTTCGGCCATGAAAGAAGAAGAAGTGAGAAATTAAAACGCACCTTACAAGTAGTCGGTATGGAAGAAAAGCTGAAGATCTTTGAACACTTTTCAGTTTGGAGCAACAATGTGCAGGTTTTGGTACAGAGCAGAAAATGGATGTAGGGACCACCACATATTTATAGGGAATCTGGTGTCAGGCAAATGAAAAGACGCCTCTCCTGTTGAACCGTCAGATCCCTTTCAGATCAACAGATAAGGTTGGGCACCCTTTCGTTTCATACACCCGCCAGACGAAACCCTAAAAGCCAACATTCTAGAATATTCCTTTACAAATTATGTATTTTTATATTATGATTTTTTATCTACTATCTCGGTTTGTATCATTATGTTACTAAACTGAATATCCTTTGGTGTACACCTGATACACATTCAAGTTTAACTACTACCATCACTCGTCCACTAAAAATTGAATACCCCCTCTCAGCATATTCAAATTTACTCTAGCCGAATACCCCTCTTGGTATAGTCAAAGACATCTTAACCGACTACCTATTGTAGCCTTAACACTGATATTTAAAGCCCTCGCTTCGTACCTCTTCGGGCTTGGGGGGCTAGTGTACTGGATAAATATCAACTCAGTCCTACTTGTAAGAAAAGGAAACCGAGTACCTATTCGGCATAATAGGCCAGATACCCCTTGTCAGGATTAAAAGGTAATTAACCCAATTAAGGGTAATAATTAAAATATTATTTACTTTAAATAAAAGGCTAAAATGAAGACTGGCTCGACAGGCCCATTGGCCCATTATAGTGCCTATATAAAGAAGGTAAAAGTACAAGTAAAGGGTTGACTTTTCATTATTAAATAACATTTATTGCTCAGAACCGAATCCTGACTTCAGCATCGGAGTGCCTTTTGCAGGTACCCTCCCACGTCAGCAACGGTTAGAAAAACGTCAGACGTCAGGAGCAGAAACTTGAAGACTCGTGTTACCTTAACAAGAACATGAGTTAATCTAATCAGTATGACTTAGATTTAATTTAGATAAATTTTTAATAAATATTCGTAGAAGAAAAAAATGGAAAGATAATTTTTTTATGTATATAAATTAAATCAACTTAGACAATTCAATTATTTTGAATCTTATTATGTCATAATCTTTTAATATTATGTGAAGTATGAGTCAGTGATAGAATTTTTTTCAATTTTTTTTTTGATAAAATAATCTTTGACAAAAGATTTTTTTTTATTTGAAATTTATCTATGCACAGTCAAATTTTAAAGAGCTACATAGTTTTACTATTGGATCTTATGAATATAATTTTTTTAAAATAAAGGTGAACCTATACAGATGATAAAAATTCCACTATTCAACTATGTTTAGATATCTAATATATAATTAGTAAAATCAAATTATATGAAATGAAATAAATTTTCTATAACATTGCTTGGATAAAAAGTAGAGTAAAATTTTGGAGTTCAATAAGACACTAACGCGATAAAAACAATAATGAATATTAGTTAGTTTTTCATACTTCTCAGCTTGGATAATAAATAAATAAAAGTGAATTTCCTTAAAATAGTAATATTTACTTTTGTATAGTTATTTTTATCAAAAATAAAAAATAAAATTAACTTTCATACAAACTACCTGTAATTTAAACAAAAAAGAAAGAAAAATACCTGCAAGAGAATAAGTATTACAGTAGTATCAAAATGTTTACCCCTTAACATGGTTTAAATCACATACCAAAAAAATGCGATTTACCTTTCTCAATTTTCATTACAAAACCTGCCATAATTTAATGGAAATTTTAACGCTATAACAAACATGCTGTTAGAAGTTCTCTAAAATTTATTGAAGGCACATATATTATTTTAGAGTTTTATTATTTTTATTTATATATTTAGATAATAAATATTATATAGTAAAAATTATTAGATAATATTTAACATTTTTTATTCATAACGAACTTGCACAAAGTATGGATAATACAATTGGTATGAATAATATAGCAGTCAATTTGCTGGTATGACTCATGAAATCTTGCATCGTTAGGTGCAAATTTTATTCTTCCTTTTTATGGCTTAATTTAAACTTCCGAGGAGAGAGAAATGGAAAACTTCTAGGCGAAGTAGTTTGTTTTGTACAGAAACGTGCTAAGGAAGTTTCAATCTGGTCTGCATATTTACAAAGAAAGAACTATTTTCGTGTCTATGATTATATATTAAAAAAAAAGTCAAAAATATAAAAATTATTTAATATTAATTTAAAATAATTTAAAGTATTCACGAAAATATATTCATAATTTTTACATTGCATTTTCACAGACAGATAATAAAACACTTCAGTAAAAAATAATTTAAAAAAATCAGAAATCGATGTTGTAGATAGGCGCGAAGTGCATCTCGTGTCATATTTGTGTCCCATTGCACATTTTCTTTTTGCCAAAGTCCTCATTCAATTATTATTTGGAGTTGTAACTTGTATATATAGACACTAAACTCCGTTTCACTCTTCACTCTCCACTCTTCTCCCACACCCTTTCCCAGGTATGCTCCTTCCTTCATTCCTTTCGCCACTTTTTCACTGATTCTCACATATATATTATTTATACTGAATTGCAACCCCGAATTTGTGAACACTTCATATGGGTTTCGTTCTTCCCCCATTTCCCCCAAACATTTCATTTTTGCCGTTTTGATTCTTTGAGTACAATGTTATCTATCTTCTTTCTATGGGGCACAGTTTGATTACTAATTTTAAGTGTTCTTATTATTTATGTTAGAATCTGAGAAATAAAAATTCTTCAATAGGAACATGATGATTCTTCTCGTATAATTTTTCTTCAAGGTTAATAAATGGCACAAAGGGGTTAAGACTTGAGAATCTGATTCGATGGCCTTTAGTTTAGTTACTTTGAGTGCTTGAGTCATTTTCCAAGGTAGCAAGGCTCTTTTAACTTTGTTTTCTCTCTCTTTTTTGTAGTTCTTATTAATTGTATTTACGGACAGAGGCTTCACTTTCCAATTCGAACGCTCTCCTATCAGTGGTAATTGTACTTTCTTTTAATCTTTAGGGGTTCTTTCCTAATTTACCTTTCTTGATTGAAAAGTACAATCATGGGTATATGCACATATACACACATGCATTCTAGCACAGATGCTTTGATTTTTCTTGACACAGGAACTCACTCATGCATAATTCAGGGATGTTGTGTTTCTTTGCCTGTTGCCTTCAATTTTGAAACAGTGATAAATTCTATCTTTATTGTTTTATCTCATTTTTTTTACTGTGTGGTTCAAGCATAATTGGGATGGAAGTCTCTGGCCAGAATATAGTCAAATGTGATGAAGAGAAAGCATTGAAGTGCTTGCTTGATGCCTTTGGCTCGGTATTTTCTCTTGAAGAAATAGCTTCTGCCTATTGCAAGGCAAGCCGGGATGCAGATTTGGCTGGGGAGATTTTGTATGGAATGCAGGGAAGCTCCTCAACATCTGCCACCCATTTTTCTGATGCAGATGCCGGGACTGGAGTGTCTTCTGTATCATCAGATGGATATTCTTTTGAAAAGTTTTGCCAAGAAAGAAAAAACACAAGGCCGAAAGGTCGGGCAGTTTCAGCAGGTGCTGTTTCAAGCATTATTGGCAAGGATTATGTTAGATCCTTGCCATCAGCAAATGGGTCGTTTGGTGTGACTAAACCAGTTAAGTTGGATGCAAACTTGCTGCCAATGACTGGAATCTGGCGTGAGAAAAGCAAGCCAAATACTTTGAAACATGATCTTCACCAGGACATGGAAAATTTCTTATTTAAAATGCTTGGAGATGGCTTTCAGCTTGACAGAAACATGATACGGGAAGTTCTTGGTATGTAATTCTTGCATTTTTTGCTATTTTTTCAAAATGATATTGGAGCTGTTTTTCTCTCACGACCCATTTTGTTGAGATTTCCTTAATGTATTTTTGATTTACAACCTCCTTTCTCTAAATATTATATGACATTCTGTGTCATCTGTTCTTTTGATAAGTAGAAAACTCCAGTTGTTCCTATCCACTCTTGTTTATTCAACTTAGCCATACCAGATTTGTTGAATCATGATTAATCATTTGTGTTGATTTTTTTTTTCTTTATACAATATCTTACAATGCTAAGTTAAGCTAATCATTTCTAAGAAAATTTCCTCATATATTACTCAACTGAAGAACTAGTTTTGTAAAAGGCAAATCATTTTAATAGCTCAATTCTTTATATTATTATGTAGTTATATTGAACATGATTATGATGGACTTGCATATGTCATTTAATAGCTCAAATAGTTTGTAGGTTGATCTGATGCAAGTCTTGAATGCTCCCTTCCTGGACTTGACTCAACCAATTTAACACTCAAATTTCTATCTTGGGTGCCATTATTCTCTTATTTAAATGAATTTGATTTTACTTTGTTTTCTCAATTCTTACTTTTAGTTACAATATTGAAATGACTATTTACTAAATGCTTCAATATGCTGACAGTTATTGTTTATACCTATTATTAATTTAGTGACCGAGACAAGTAACACATATAGGCCGCTGAACTACATTATCATTTGCATTATTTCTTTAGTTTGTATTAACTGCTGACTGATTTATTGCAAACATGCAGATACTTGTGGGTATGATATGACGAAGGTACACAAAAATTTTCTTATGTCGATGTTTCTTGCTTTCTTTTCCCACTTTTTCAGGATGCGTATTAGAATCTAAAAAAAGAAAATCTGCATCGATAATCTTGTGTAGGTTTAAACAATGTAAATCTGACGAGGATATCATCATTCACTTATTTAACATTTTCTGTTATAAACAGTGAAATGACATGTAAATTATTAATAATCATGGTTTTCCTATTCAGACTACCCAGATTTTCAGTTTTCTAAAGTCAATTCTAATTTCCATGGGTTTTTTGTTGTGCATTTTAGAAATAGAATTTGTTACCTATGCCTAATAAATAGCTGTTGAAATAATCCAGAGCTTGGAAAAACTACTAGATCAATCAATTACAGCTTTGAGCAAAAGGAAAGCTATTGGTGATTCGGCAGGAAAAGTAAGTATGATTGCCAAGATTATATAGTTATGCTCCCAGCTCTGCTTGGTTTACTTACGCAACTTTCATTACGTTTGGTCATAGAGATTATAATTTGTAAATTTTGAAATTCCTTTGCAATGGGTGCTATAATTTGATTTCCCACCTCATTAGAGACGTTAGGGAAGGGAGAGGGTTACTTCCTGTAAATGGATTTGCATAGGTGATTCATCTTTGGCTTTTTGAAGAGTTGAATAGTCATTAGTCAATGGATGTAAATGCATGTAAAAGTGACATAAGTTTAGTTTTTGAAGAACTGAATAGTAGGTCAGTGATATAGATTCCGCTTTAGTTTTTTGAAAGTAGGACAGCAAAGCAAACTCCAATGTATTGATAGTAAACTCCATCACAAACCGTAAACCATACATAATAGTAAAAAACCACAAATCAAATCACCTATATTTAGTCAAACCACACTCACCTATTAACCTACTAACTAATTGATCTTGCTGTTCTAAGCATTAAGCAACACTATCAACCAATGACCCACCTATATTATGTAGAAGAAAATTTAGATATTGGATATAAATTCTGATTTGATACTTTTTAAAACAAGTAGAAAATACTTTTATCATCATATTCCATTTCATTAAGTAAAATAGCAATATCTTGAGTTGATTTACAATCTGAACAAACTGAACCTACAGATTACAATTAAAAAACCATTTACATACACACAAAAATAAAATAAGCAAATCATAAGACATAGTAATAAAGAAGATGAAAGTATGAAACTTTACTTCCCATTCTCTGCACTCCTTAAACAACTCCTTGCACACATCAAAGCTTCAACAGTAGTAAAATGGAGTCGATTTTGATGAGGATTGATTATTTGACCACTGGTACTAAATGCAGATTCTGAAGTTACAGTGGAGATTGGAATAGTTAGAACATCCCTTGCAATTCCTTGTAGTATTGGGTAATTGATTCCATTCAACTTCCACCATATTAAAATATCAAAATCTGCAATTCTTGGTAAAACTTCCTCCTCTAAATAATGATTTAATTCTGTTTTCAGATTAGAAGTTCTAGCCTTTTTCTTTTTAACAAAGAACAAATCATAGTTACTCAATGCATCATCACCAACATTACCCACATCTAAACATGGAGAGCCACAACTAGATCCTTGATTCATTTTCAATTGATAGTAAAACCAAATCACAACACAATTGCCTAATACTTTCAACTTGTGCAAAAGAGTCACTCATAATTTTTTATAATAAAATTCAAGCAACTCCATTTTGTATTTCTGGATCTAAAACAGTAGCAACTCCCATTATTTCATGAATTGCAGTCCAATAGCTTTAAAATTTCTTCAACATCTTTTGTGCCATTTTTTGAATCATTTCATTGGGAGAGGGAATTCATTGGGAAATTGCCAACTTGATCTCACAAATTTTGGGAAATAAATATTTGCAGTTAAATCAATTCTGTTATGCTTTTGAACAGTTTCAACCTCCCACAAACTTTGACTGCATTCCCATTGTGAATTAGTTGGCAAACAAGTATATTGAGGCTCACATTGCCTTAACCGAGAAAACACATCCTTATAACATATAGCAGTGTCAAGCATCTTACAAGTTCAATTCAACCTAGTTGGACAAGCATTTTAGGGTTGCACTCCAATATACTACACTATTCCTAATCTTCTGCACCCCACCTTTCACTACTTCAAATCCTTCTTTGACTATCAAATTTATGATATGTGCATAACAACTCCCTCCTCTAACTTGAATTGTTGACTCCACATCTTGAGTTGGCTGAGTTTAAACTACTATTGAACCTTGAACTTGAAGTGTAGGTTGAGAACTTTCTATTAGAGTTACTGCTTGTTCTGAACTTTTCTCTAGAACAATTTAGAGGGACAAAGTTTGTGTCATTTTCCATCTCCACTTCAAATGCAAATATGCATGATACTTAGTATTTCAATATCTGACAAAAATATCATTGCATAATAAAAAAAAATAACTTTTTAGAAGGGATACGCAATTTTTTTTAAGTTTATTGACAGTTTATTAGTAATTAAGCCAAAAATTCAAAAGACAATTATTGTTTATGCACAACATACATAAAAAGTGAATATATAATATGCAAGAACATGATTGACAATAAAAAATGAATACATGATCCCTCATCACATGGACCAGTGAAATGAGAAATAATACCAGTTACTTAAAGAATGTAGCTTAAAAAGCTTTCCCATGGTTTGCCTTTTTATCACCTAAAAAAAAATCAATATGAACAGAAGCAAGGATACACAAATAATACAACATCAAAATGACTCTAGGTGATATGCAGAAATGATTATGTTACAAACACCTTCCCAACTTCATTGTTCTTTCAATGGGTTGTTTTAGATTACTAAACAGATTATTTGAAGAAGGAATTCTAAACTTCGTAATTGACACAGTAAACATGGTTACCATGTAGATGAGTTCTATTACCATGTATTTAATAATAAAGGATAAACATTAACTCTGATAAATAATAGGACCACATACATGCAAATGAATTTCTTCCCCATTAGATATGAAATACCGCTACTTGGAACAAATCAAACACATTGTTACCGGTGGTCACACCAATCAACAGGATCTGGTGTGGTATCAATTCAACATCATTAATGAAGATTCTAAAATATTAACAATTATAAGTATTCATAAAAAAAATTGCTGTGATTTATTTTTATATAATTCATATTTCACGTAACTTAACTTCTAAACAGTAGTATCAAGGTAATTTATATACCAAAACAATAGAATGCATTAAACTGAAATTGATAAACTTTGACTAACAAATTAAATCAAGCATGATATCATGATAATCTAAATATTTATTTGTTTTCTGTAAAATATCATTTAAGGCATTAAAATTGGACTAATTGTAAAAATTTAAACTATGTTCAAAATATTATCTTAAAAAATAGTTTGTCAATAACATAGCTTGTTCACATATGTTCAGCATCATTCCATGGGATAAAAAGATGCTTGATGCGTGAATCATTTGGTGATTAAACTTATTCACAGATTTTCCCAAGGGCTTACGAATAAAGTGGACAAATTTTTGGGACACTTAAGTGTTAACCCCTAGAAATTAAAAAAGCCATGCAACAACTCAATGTAACCAAAGTCAATGGAAGTGTGCAGGTTGAGGAAATCTCTATATGGGTTTAAACAGTCTCCTTATACTTGGTTCAAGAGATTTACTCAGGCTATGGTATCCTTAGGATATAGCCAAGGTCAAGGTGATCATATTTTTTTCATAAAACACTAGTACACTAACATTTTTTTAATTTATTTAAATGATATGATCATTGCAAGTGATGATGAGAATTAAAAAGATAAATTGAAGGAGAAATTGATTGTTCAATTTGAGATGAATGATCTGGGAAGACTGAAGTACTATCTGGGAATTTAACTTACAAATAGGGAATTTTCATTTCTTAGAAAAGATATGTTTTAGATCTTCTCAAGGTAGTTGGAATATTGGGATGCAAAGCTACTGAAGCAACTATAAAACAAAGCCACCAAATAGGAGGAGAGAGGAGAGCTCTATTGTAGACAAAGTTCAAAATTAAAGACTAGTGAAAGTTAATCAACCTCTCTCATACTAGACCTATCATTGCATATGTTGTTAGCATTATTGGTCAATACGTGCATGATCTACGTGAAAGACATTTACAAGCAGTGAATAATAGGAGAGAGTCTCTCTCTTTAGAAATATATATAAAAAAATGTTGTAGAATGTGATATAAAAACAAAAAACTAACTACATGTGTCAAAATCTTGAATCTAATTGATAGAAAATCATCAAATAATATCATATGTCTCATAATAACATAATAGCCTAAGTCTCAAAGCACAAGTTCAATAAAAACTAAAAGCCACCAAGCCTCAAGTGAAACAAAGTGATAAAAACTAGGAAAATAGGACTAATTGAGGAAGCTTGTTGTTAGGCCATGTTAAGGAAAACTACTGCTCAAACCAAGGCAACAGTGTTGGAATAAAAAATGGATGAAAACAGAGAAGGAACACTAAAAAAAGAAAATCCAAGAAAGAAAGTTGAAACAAAAAATATGAAGAGAGAGAGAGAGAGAGAGAGAGAGAGAATGGAGGAGAAGGAAAAAGAAAAATGGAATGGAGGAGGATAAAACAAGGCTGCAATAAAAAAACCTACTCACCAGAAGATGAGGGTTGCTGGAGCTCATGGTCATTGGAAGCAGGGAAGGTGAGAGAAGGAGATGGGAGGTTGCTGTAAGAGAGAAAGACATAGCTGAGATTGAAAAAAGAGGCCAACAAAGTTGAAAGTCTACATTTTAGGATTTCTTTTTTATGTTGGGTCAGTGTGGAATTGGGTCAAATCAGCAAACATAATTTTATTTTTTTTTGGGCAGATTCCCAAAATTTCAGCCATAGTTGCCATAACTGCCGTGACCTCCATGCAAATAACAGCTTACCTGACATTGCCACATTGCAAACATGCCATGACCCACCATATGTATGGCAGATTGTTAAAAAACCGTCACCAATTTTTTCCATGGCCACCATTTGATAAAACTAGATAGGAAAAAAAATATATAGAGATTCATCAGCATTTTGCTATAGAGAAACTTGATAGTGGTCTCATAACCATCACCTATGTCCCTTTCCGAGATCAACTAGTAGACATGTTCACTAAAAGATTAGGAAATGGTAGACATCCATTCACCAGATTAAGGAAGGAATGTTGAGGATATATCATAGTTATTACTATTTATTGTCTATGTATTCATTGTCATTATCTCTGAGATTATTTGGAGATATTCTAGAATATTTTCTCATGTAAATATTAAGATTAGACTTCTATATATACATGTAAATTGTAATGTATTGAAATAGAATAGAATTCAGAATTTCCAAGTCCTCCTGTTGTGAATGTCGTTGCCACATGCCAGTCTTCTCTTGAATGATGTCTAATGATATACATAAATTGTTTCTATAACCAAATTGTTTGCAAGGATCACATAATGTTTTGTGAAAAATATATTGTGCTCATTTTTTTCTAACAATTCTTTCATTATTCTTTGTCTACGTCTTTTGTAGGTTTTTTATTCTTTCACTTGATTATTATCCTAGAATAAAACTAGCTTCTTGTTCTACTTTGTTGGTGATGGTTTTATATTCTTAGCTTTTGACTTTCACCTTTTATGTAGAAAATCATATCTTAATGTCTATATTAAAGTACTAATGATCATCTAGATTCTTAATTGCTGTTCAAGCTAGCTGTCCTTTTGCAGTTTTCAGATATGAAAGCAAAATCTAAAGCACCTTCATCTGAAAAAAAGTCTCAGGATTTAAATTATCCCAAAGGGTATATTTTCTTTTTGGTTTCTGTTAATATCTACTACTTTTGTCAACATCCTATTCACTTTTAAAGATCAGGGAATTCTACTTTATCTTTTTTAAAATTGGTATTACGCTCCAACGGCGTAAAGCACTCATTTTTAAGCCACATTTTGGGTCATAATTTGTATTCGCTTCGTAATACAGTGATGGAAACATAGTTTCAACTAAGGGAATGGAATTACATAAACAACAGAAAGGGAAACATGATCTTCAGAAAGAAGTCTTGTCTAGTTTGTTTAATTATCATGGGCATCCTGAGAAGGCTCCTAAAAGAATTGTAAAGGATTTGAAGAAGAATTCACGATATGGACATGTGGTGTTTGAACCTCCCAAAGAATACAACGAAGAATGCAAGATAGACATGAACTTCTCACGGCTAGAAAATATTGATGGTACTTCATGTTATTCTAGTAATTTGGATTCCTCTTTTCTTTTTATTCTTTAAAGTTCATTTGTTGAGCAACATGACTTTTGTAGAATCAGATGTTTCTATATTTTATTGAGTGCAAGATATATCTAGTATGAGATTTTTTCAGCTTCAAAAAATATATTTTATGATGCCATTGCTATAACTTGCACAAGCTTCCTAAGCCTGAGCATGATTGCCTTGCAATTAGTTGATTCACTGGTCTCAATGTGGATCAAGAATTGGAATTTTGGAAGAATTGCAGATACATTCCTAGAAGCAAAATCCATTCACTCTTTTCTTTTTCTTACCTCCTGTTACATAATAAATGGATATTTTATTTTATCTTGCTTTGAAGTTGAGTTTTATTTTATTTGAAGACTGAATGCTGTCTATGGCAGATCCAGAGGATGAGGAAGACTACCAGAATGCACGTAAAGCTGTGAAGGAGTATCGAGCGGCAATGAATGAATATTATAAAGCAGTATGTTGCATTCTTTGTTTGGGTTTTATTTTGTCCCACATTTGATCATTAAATAGTTACTAGGTGGAATAACTTGGTGTGGGTTCTTTGCGTTGGGCACTGTAAAGTACACTCATGGGTCACTTGTCACTCCAGGCAGTCGATGCATTTACACAGGGGGATCAAATCAAAGCAGAAAAACTTTTAGGGCAGGTAAGGTCTAAATTTGTTTCACTGTTCAGAGTCCATTTGTTTTAAAATTGTGTAGAAAACCACTGCAAATAATTGGGATGCATGTCTGAATCAATCTCAGTTAAAGATTCACATAGGAAGTGTATTTTTTATTAGAAAATGGAAGATTTGATTTTTCAAGGCCAAAACAAACAGGTGCTTACTCCTGTGTGAAATGATGCATATCTTGTATTCAGATTATATTAGTAATACTGAATAATCAAGAGAGGGTATAATAAAGGAGGTTCCATTGAGCTTCGAGGATTAGTTTTCATTATTTGAAGTAAGAAAAGTTTGTTTGGTTGATGTTGAAGATATCATGAGCTCCAACTGTCGTATTTTTCAATGATAATGAAAATTCTTAGCCATACTCAAATTTTATAATTTCATTTGTTCATGCTATGGTAATGACAGGGGCAATTTTTCCTCAGCAAGGCTCACGAAGCTGATGAAGAATCTAGTAGAATGATTCTTGAAACCAGGTCAATCTCTTCTGCTCTAAATTAGTATTGGTTTTTTTTTTCCCTCTACTTTGTTAAGGGGGGTGGTTGTGTGGAAAATTTGTATGTTAGGTAATACAATATTTCTTTTATTATATTTGTTGGCAGGACTACAGAAGCACAAGAAATGGTGCTTGACTTGCGTGACCATGGTTCAAAGGAGGCTATACGTCTACTGAAGTGTCATCTTTCTTCCCTTTCTGGCATTCCATGTAAGTACTGGCGTTGTACTACTGATGAGTGTAACTTCTGGATTCTTGTAAAATTTATTTCTGCCCTGTATTCTGTGGTAATTGCAATATTTCCTTTTCTCCCATCAGCATTTGAGTACCTCAAGCTTATCATTGGTGCAAATGATGAAGATAACACTAAAGGGTCTCGCAGACGACTACGGGTATTAAAACTATTAGAGCAGGAATCTATAAAATGGGTTGAAGGAGAAACAGCTGATACAATATTGATCCGCCTGGCTAACATAGAGCGTAATCGATTGAGTTTTCTAAAAACATAGAATGCTGTTTTGACTGTAATTCGAATGTCTGATTAGTTAAGCAAATGATAAGTCATCCAATGTACACATTGTTCAATTGTGAAACTTTAAAACTTGGAATTGAGGTGTGATTTGTGGACGTGAGTTGGTCATTTGGCCCCATGTAGTTTTTATCAAAATTGTTACAATTTTTGAAATATGGGAGACCCAAAGCAATAAATATCTTTTCATTTTTACTTTTCTCATTTATTTAAGCATATAATTTTTTTTAATCTTTCATATGGCAATTATTGATGATCTTTTATATCTTTCCATCTTTAACTATATTTTTAATTATATATTATCACTTTTTTATAAAAATTTTAGTGGTGAATATTCTTTTGAAAATATTAATATTACATGGTTTGTGATTTTGCATACGTTTATTTATATTTTTTATTTATATAATTAGAATAAATTATAAATTAACATGAATAAAAATATTTTTAAGATTAAAAATTTATAAATTTATTTATTATTCAATATTAATAAATTTATTATATTGAATAATATTTAAAATTATAAAAAAATTATAATATTTATAACACTTTTAATATAATTTATATATTTTTATTTTATTTTTATCATTTTTTGTTATCGTTACTCAAACAATGCAATAAATATAGTTTAGATTTTTTGTTATAAAAATTTCATTAACCAAGTATAGGAAAAATTCTAGCCATTCATTATATTATAATATTATTTGTATTAATATTATGAAGTAATTTAAATATTTTAATGGCTGTGATGATGTTTACGTAAAAATTCACAAGAGAATAACTGCTCCTAGTTCCAACATAGTTCAATTATTAAGTTTTATTTTTGTTGTATAACATGTTTTTATTGGGAATTTTAAAAAAATCACCTGAAGTCAGATTTCTATAAAAATTATCTACAAGCTAAATACTTTAGCATTATTACTGCTTCCTACAATTATTTTTTGTCTCTGTTAATTTTAATCATATGTAAATAAAAAATATATTTTTATTATTGCAGTAATATATAACAAATAAATTACTTTTAAATGTGACTTAAATTTGATGTGTAAAAGATTATACAATAATAAATGCATAAAACAAAAAAAAATAAAAGGAATGAGTTAAAAAAATGGTAGATAAAAAAGTGTGAAGGTAAAATTAAAAACTACAATAATTATTATTATAATATTGACAAAATATAAAAATATTAGTCACAATTATTTTTCAAATTATACAAAATCTTAAAAATAAACTGTATTTTATTTTAATCATGTCAATTCTTATAATTTTTATTTTTAATATAGTTTATAATATTGCATTATAAATGCATAAGCTACATTAATAGCATAATGAAATGGTAGTATTTTATAATCTTATTTAATGTAATTACAGTGGTATTGTTTGATATAATAATTTTTATTATAATTAATAAATAATATATTTATGAAGTTTTAAAAAAACATATTTTTTATAACTAAAATATAGTTTTTTCTAATTAACTTTAAATAAAATAATTTAATAAAATTATAAAAAATTGTGCAATGCACGGGCAATAATACCAGTTTTAATAAATTTATAAACCTTAATTTCTTTAAAAGTTTTCTCATCTAATTTTTTAAAAAATGACATACATAATTTGATTCTAAATCATACAATAAGTTTAATTTATTTTGTTTTTTCTCCTATAAATATTTATGAAAGGTTTTTCCACACTAATTTGGAAGAAAGAAATTTACAGGATTTAGGCTTATTGACTTTCTTATTTCACCATTTAAGTAGTTTGGTTATAAATTTTAGTTAAATTTAACGTAGTTTAAATTTGATTGTTTTTTATATAATAAATAGACTGTAAAATACACATTAAACATATTAAAACTTGATTTAAAGTGTCAAATATCTTATCTTGCAAGAATAAGATCAATATATTACATGTCATATTTCACATGAAGCTTACAATATCACAACCAGCATTTTGCAGTTATAAATAAATTATTTTTTTATGCTGAAAAAAGGGAAAACAAAGCAAAATAGTCCCTAGTATACATCACACAGGACTTATATCAAACAAAAGAGAAAGGTAAATATCATGAATTACTCTTCCAAAACGTGAAATGAGAGTCTGTGGTAGAACCGACACACGAGAATCAGGTTTGCTTCACAAGAATCAGGTTCGCTTATGCGTGTTCCAAAATGGTGTTCCATTCTCTCGAGTTTTCTTATGTGAGAAGGGATCTTTGCATGTTTATGCCAAGGACTAATGATATTCTTAACTAGATTTGCTTTCTTATAACTTATTTTGCGGCTTTGTTAAAATTATCTTATCATATTTATTAAAATTTAGTTTTTAATATAGAACACAAGTTATATAATAAAATAATAAGAGATAAAAAAAATTTTATTCAAAATCGGTATACTTACAAATAAAATTGAAATAATGACATACACTTCTAAAAATAAGATCACTAGAATAACTAAATATTATAATATTTTATGAATATAAATTTATAAATGAATGAATATTATGGCAATTTTATAAATAAAATAAAATTACAAACATGTCAAAACCAAGAAATGTGACTGACAACAGGTAAAATGAAATGAATGCATTTTAGTCACTCCCAAGCACAGCCTTCAAACTCAGCTAAACAACTGTGTGTGTGTTTTCTTCAACGTTAAGTAACAAAACAACATGTTTAGGTGTCGCTTTCTCAGCTTAACCGCTCCTTTCCCACGTTAACCCCATTTTCCATTCCCATTTTCCTCTCTATAAATACCTCAATTTCCCAATTTTATTCACATTCTCATCAATCGTAAACCAAAACCTAAACAATCTGCAATCATGGCTGACCAAGCACCACCTCCACAACAAGAACTCGTACCTTCATTACACTTCCTTTTATTTCCATTATTGTTATTATTTGTTTACTTAGGGTTTGAATTTGATCAAATTGTGAATTAACAGGATGCAATTCAGGAGGAAGATCAACACCAACTCAAGTACCTCGAATTCGTGCGATTTGCCACCATTCAAGCCCTCATGGGTTGCGCCATCCTCTACTCTTACGCCAAGGAACGCGCTGGTCCTCTCAAGCCCGGCGTCGACACCGTTGAAGAAGCTGTCAAGACCGTTGTAGCTCCCGTCTACAACAAGTTCCACCTCATCCCTGCTGAGTTCCTCAGTTACGTCGACCGCAAGGTCGAGAAATCCGTGGCGGAGTTTGATCACCATGTGCCTTCCAATGTCAAGAAGGTTTCCTCCCAGGCACGTTCCGTGGTCTCCGAAGTTCGCCGAGCTGGCTTCATTGATGCCGCCTCTGGCTTCGCCCAGACTGTTTACTCCAAGTTCGAGCCAAAGGCGGAGCAGTGTGCCGTGTTGGCTTGGCGCCGCCTGAACCAGCTTCCCCTTTTCCCTCAGGTGGCCAATGCTGTCTTGCCAAAAGCTGCCTACTGTACCGAGAAGTATAACGAAGTGGTTGTTTTCTCCGCCAAGAAAGGTTATAAGGTTTTGGCTTATCTCCCTTTGGTGCCTACTGAGAAGATAGCTAAGGTCTTTAATGGAAACTGATATTGTTTTTGTTGTTTTTTGGAGTTTATATCGTCTTTTTACTTTCATTACATACAAAGGAGTTGCTAGTCTCACTAAGTTGGACTAGGATATATGATATGAATATTCCTTTTGTTTCTATAAGCATAACATGTGTTGCTTGGGCAGTTTCCATGGCAGATTGGTTTAAAATTTAATAAAATTGATTTTGGATAAATATAATTTTAAGATAATTACATAAATTAATTTGAATCAAATCATATAATTTCAATTAGAATGTATGTTCTATTTTAGAAAGTGAAAAAAATTTGATTTTGTATCTCAAAATAAAGAATTCTTATATTTATCGTAACAATATAATTTTGCTGAAGAAGAATGCTAGGATACACTCTCTTAAGCACACTTTCAAGGAGAAAGTTGCCACAAACTTACAACTCAAATGCCCATTACAAGCTAATACTGGTCATACCATGAGAATATGTTACTAGAGACTTGCCTAAAACAATACTTTCATGGTCTTTTTATGTAATTGATTTAGTTAATGAAGATCATATTAAAAGATATATTTTGAATGGAAATAAAGGTAGAGATGACTATTAAGAGTTTGAAAATGTAATTTTATTTAATACAACATATATCATCACATATATAAGTACAAGATGTTATTTACTTGTTTTATTGACGTGAAGAATCACTTTCATGTTACTGGATTGTGCATTGGTTGTGCATTATTGTAATTCTTCCAAAACATTCACATGATTGATGGCTTAGAACTGTGGGTGACAAGCCTCCAAATGCATTATTACCAGACGATTGCTGTGGCAAGTGGTGTAAAAGTATTGAGCTATTTGATGTTTGTGTTGAAAGTGGTTGTTCATTTCTCAATTAAATTAGTAAACTAAAACAGTCAATTATTACCTTCAATTTGAGAGTGCATTTAAGAAAGTGTCCAAAATGAACAGGTTATTAGCAAAGTACACACATCAAGCCCCTCTATTAACATTTAATTAAATTTACTTAAGCCCTTTTTTGGGAGAAACCAGTGATATAAATGTGCTGTGACATGTTGGTTCCTCCTTTATGTAGTGACATTAATCTAGACTGTGAAAGCATATAATAAAACTACCTGCGAATGATTCAACCGCTGAATATAATGTGAAACTATGTTTCAGATTGTCTGCATGCTTTCTTTAGGTGTTCAGATATCATCAGGGACCTAAGCAAAAATATTTATGCACTCTTCATCTTAACAATTTTCTGAGTTTCTTTGGTTTCATCGATGTTATCTATTTTCATGCGGTCTAAAAGTTCATCTACTTCTTTACCAGCTCGTTTATAGGCTTTGAGTAGGGTATGATACATTTGTCTATTTACTGTGACAACATTTCTTAATAAGCTCACCAAAACTTCTGCATCTTCTACACTGCCGTTTTCACCAATCCAACTCAATAGTGCTGCAGCCACCTTTGGGTTAGGCTTCCATCCTTTATTTTCCACGTACAAAGTGAGGGCAGTTTTAAAGCACCTCAATGCCTTCTCCATCTCCCTCTTATGCAGGTATCCACCTGCCACTGCAGTCCAACAGTTTGGGGTAGTGACCTTTTCCTTCTTTTGTAAATCTTCAAGCATGGCTTCTGCTTTCTCAGGCAAACCTTTTTCTGTGTACCCAATGATTACAATACTTGGGATTCCAAAATCATAACAATTGCCAGAAGATTCCCATTCCTTCAGTATTTTCTTAGCTTCATCAAACTCCCCAAGCTTTACCAGAGATTCTAACATGGTCATATAATCCCTGTTTATGCATCTCTTGCAAGCACTTTTCTCCAAATCCCAGACTCTCATGACCTCATTCTTGTGTCCAAGACGGGTATAAAGAGAGATGAGATGATTATAACCCTGCCCATCTTTATTATCCAACCTCTCCTCAGATTTCCTTAGAGCATAAATTGCCTCTCTTGAAAATCCTGCTTTTATATAAAAATTAGCCACAATGGAATAAGTGTTCCAATCCATCACTATGTGTGGTTGATTCTCCATCTCTTCCAATATTGTTTCCATTCCATCAATATCAGACCTCACACCATAAGAATTAATGCAAATCCTGTAGCTGAAGTTATCAGGCAAGACTTGATTTTCTTTCATCTCAGTTAGCACCTCAAGAACCTTCTCATGCTGCCCAATATTTGTATATAGACACATAATGTCATTGTAGGTTAGAGCTGATGAAGCAAACCCCAAATCCTTCATTTTGTGCAAATGGGAAAGGGCCTTATCAATTTGGCGCTGACGAACATAGCAATTCAAAAGAGCACCGTATGTCTTAATAGTCTTGTCTTGATCCTTCAAGCTATTAAAATAGTTTTCTGCAGAAGCGAAACCATGAACCTTGCCAATGAGATCCAAATGCACCGCGTGTTCAGTTGGAGAAAATATGCACACACCATTCTCGTACATCCACTCAGATACCTGCAGCCATTAAGGAACAAAAGCAAATCAACAATTATCCGTTTCAAATCATAATAGAGTAGTCGAGTGTATAAGTATTTCACAAATGCAACTTTTCAACACAACTTAGGTTCTTCAATTTCAGTTAGTTTACTTAAGAAGAAGATGATTAAGCGGAAGAGAAGAAGACGAGAAGAGAGAGAGAGAGAACCTGGAGAGCTTGGGAGAACCTACTGCGCTTGCGAAGGTCTCGAATTATGCGCTGAAGTTCTCCGACTCGAACCTTGTTCCCTTTGTACACCCAATCCTCGAGCTCTGATACAACGCTTGTGCTTGGATTTCCTAGGGGACTGATTTTGGAGTACAGGCTGGGTTTCTTGCTCCTGTTCGTGTAGTATGACCTGCTCGCAATCGCTATTCTTCTGCCAAGGATCATCTCTATGCCTATGCCAATGGCTATGGCGGCTAGGCTAGGGTTTCTCTGTCTGCAACACAAACGTGACGGGACGAGATGATGGAGATGAGACGATGATTAGCCGCTGACACAGATACGGCCCTTTTGGGTTATTAATGGGCTTCTCGCTTGGGCTTATTGGGCCAACGATTTTGGAGTTGTCAGGTTCTGATAATGCAAGTAAGAGATAGAAGGCAATTGCTATATAACTTATTCTTGAAGTTGCGTTTACTTATACATATCCTTCGCTGAAACCCTGAAAAATTTTAATGCAAAATACACATTCCAATAAAAATGTATAGTTCATATTAATTTATATCTCAATTATATTCAACTTCTCATGTTTTGTTTTTCTCGACCTAAACTAAACACACAGCAGCAGCAATATGCGGAAGAGTAAAGATCAGCCAGAAGGACTCTATCCATGTGTGTATATGCATAAAAGTATAAAGCGTAATGTTCAAATAAAAGCGACGTGGAATCTAATCTAGCTTGGTCAAAGGGTCAATGTTAAAAAAAGCCATATTATTTGACCACAATGTTCAAAGAAAATGAAAATTTGTTAATGACGTTCAACATGATTTGCTTTCTACAAAATTATTAGTTAGCCTCAAACAAGCTCTTAGTTCAACCAGGGAAGGATACCCTTTAAATGATAAAGTGTAATTATAACCATTTATTATAAAATTAATAGTCAAGAATAAGATTGTAATAACTTTATAATTTATTTTATATACATATATGTATTTTATTATAATTTTTAACTGTCAATTTTTTAATTAGTAATTATAGCTGTACTTCATATTTTAAAGTTTACTTTAAGAGAGTTTAATCTTGAAGATCACACGGATTATTGAATTATCTCCCAATTATCCCCAAAAAACATAGTCTCTTATATTGATGAATCTATAGTAGTTTTACTAAATTTCTCTTTCATGATGTTTCAATGTGTGGAAAACAACACAACCAAACGCCAAGCTTATATGGAATGAGCCCATATCCAGAAGCTTATAAAGTATGAAACAGGAAATGAAGCTGCAGAGGCCATAATAGAGGCACGTTTTTCTCCCAAGGATTTCATGCCAGTAGGAACACCTCCTCTATCGCTACTTTTTAACACACCAAGAAGCTAGAAAAAGGCACAAGAAAAATATGATTAACCAATTCCTTAAATTTTACGCCAAATCCATAGTCAAACATATTCTGTCCTCCTCTAAGTCCTCACTTTCCCTCATCACACAACAAACGGGGGTTAGTGGACATAGATATAATTTCAGATTTCAGAATAGACAGCAAAAAGCATGTGTAGGTCCTGCACTACCAGCTCAAAAGCAACGCTGATTAGAATAGTATCCATCGGTTACCTCGTTATATTAACCTTAAACACTCTTCTAGAACCTGAAATTATAAAAATGAAAGAGAAATTCAACATCTATATTGAACACACAATTTTACATGTACATAATATAAGCCACAATCTGTCACATAAAATCAAGAAACTCTTCAATTATGCATCCGTGTTTGATGTTTGCAAATAGTACATTCCCTTAAATTTCAACGTATGAAGCAACTGATTAATTTTCAAGAGAACAGAACTACATCATATGACAATAACAGGCAATAGTTGAACCCTGCCAACTTCCTAGTTCAAATTTAATTAGCCCCAGCCAGATAATAACTCGATAACAAAAATTGTTCACCCTCTTTACATCATTTGTGTTCAAGTTTTCCACGTGGGCACATGATAAGTAACAGAAAAAGTATAAAAAATAATAATTTAACCCATAAAGTTCACTTCTTGTACAAAAAACCATGAGTTTTTACCCTGATAACATGGTTCGAATTTGAAATATACAACATTAAGACTGTAGAAAAATCAACAAATTATTAATAGGCACTGACATTTCAATTTTCCGTTTCACCAGATAAAAATTTAACATGTGCGAATTGTCTCAAAAGGTTAAAAAACTAATACTGCTTGCATCTTAACACTAAGGAACACAAACATTAAAATACCTCTAAGGCACATCTAAGCTGTTCAATATTGCAAACCTGGCTCAAAGTTGATTAAAACAAAATAATTTGAATCCAGCATTGCTCAGGGAAGCAAGAGAGCTACGCGAGAGTGATATCGGCCATTTTTATATTGCATAAGCATTATGATGAACATTGGGAGTCAGTTGATAATTGATATTGTTATGGTTAGCGGACAACCATAAAACTGATGGCAGTAAAACACCTTAACAGATATGATCTAGAAAGGAACTGAAACGACAAGGACAAATCGAAACCATTGGAGGAAGCTGTTTGATCAGGACTAGTATGGTGAATGTCTGAGAAATAGCAGTTGAAAACCGGGCACCAATGGCTACATAATTCAATAATATGGTTCATTTTATAAAGAAACAAAGGATGTCTAATGTTAAGGATACAATTAAGGATGAGGAAATTATAAAAGTAGTGTTACAAATCATACCTATCAATGTCATAAAGAATAATGACACTCAATGATGACCTACGTGCATCTTCAAAATCTGTTACAAATTATTACATGATACAGCCAACACGCCAGGAAATTCAAAACTAAGGTCATTATTGTATCTTTGTAATTACAAATGAACGAAACATGAGCAAAAAAAGGTAGTACAAGTTGAAAGCATATGCTCCCAATTATCCTTACAAAAACTCAACTCTTAGCAATTGCAAATTTATAATAATTCTTCCAAATATCTAGTTAGTTCATTTTGTTTCATTTATATGGCATGTATATGTAAAACAACACAACCAAAAGTAGAGTTCTCACACAATATGAATGCATCCAACAGATCGTAAAGTAAGAGTTATGACCTAGGAAATAAAACTGCAGTGAGGCCATAATGAGGGCACATTTTTTTCTCTAAGAATTTCTAGCTAAACAGTAGTAGCATAGAAAAAGGCACAAGAAAAAGATGATTAACCAATTCCCCAATTTTCACGCCAACCCCATATTCAAACATATTCCCTCCTTCTCTCTCTTTCTTCCACTGCACAACATATGGGGGCAGTGGTATCTAAATTTCAGATTTCAGAAACATAACCAAAGACAAAGAGACAGCAAAAAGCATGTGTAGGCCCAACAATACCAGCTCAAAAGCAACTCTGATAAGAAGAGTATCCATCGGTTCCCTCCTCTTTCTCTCTCTATGTTACCTCTTTAGATTAACCTTAACATTTTCATTCTTGTCTCCCTCGAGTCTTCATGGCTCCACCACTTTGTCTTTTGACCAAAACCCCTTTTCTCTCTTAGATCTCTGAGAAATTCTGATTAAACATTTCACCTGTTCACACTCCATACTTTGCCTCACAATTAGCTTGATAATGGTAGGCCTCCCACATTAATGGTAATTTTGGATTCCACATCAAGCCCATGTGTGCATGTCTCATGCACGTATATGAAGTTTGTTCTCTTGCACCTATGGCCATAAATGTTCTTGAAACATCACTCCCTTAAGGATTTAACCTTGATCTTACTATACCTTCTTTTCATTTTTCTAGCTATCTAGCTAGCATGTTTCCTTAGATTAATTCGCCTATATATACTCCTTTGCCAACCTTTCCAACTGTCCCTTCTAACTGCTACTCCCTCTCTGCCTCCTCTCTCTCTCTTCCTCTGACACAAAGGAAGTCTTAGATTTAGTTCAAATGTTGAGAAAAAACAAAAGGGTATGCTTCAGTCCAGATATCAATGAGAAACCATCTATCTTTCTCAAACATGGTGGTAATAAGAAGAGGATCATTGGAACTTGGAATTTTTCAAGATTGCCCAAAGACCCTATATTGTCACCTGTAAGGTTCCTACTACGGCTTGGAGCAAAGGTGGCAAGTTCCATTGCTGTTGTTTCTATGGGAAGAAGATCCTCCAGGAAGGTTTCTTCATCCACTTTGGTAAGGTCACGTTCATTATCAGACCCCAATGATTCATCGTACCGTGCTAAAGCCGTAGAAGATTGCATTGAGTTTTTACATTCTTCTTCCTCTAGGGAGAGACCCAGTTGAGTCTCTCTCTGTAGCACATCATGGTTTGGAAAGGTTTTCAAGGTTGCTAATTGCAAGAGATGTATGTATATTAAAGAAAATTAAAGGGTTATGCTTTATTGATTTGAATTGACATGTTTATTAGTAGAAAATAGTGGTTTATCCTTTGTGCACCATGTCACTTTGGCAATGCAGTTTGAGTAGAGACACTAGTATAAAACATTAGCTCAAATCATAGTTTGAATTGTAGACTCTAGTCTTTTCTGTTTTTTGGAATATATTGTGGTTATCAGTTTTCATTTATTTCTTGCTAATTGTTATCCGAATATGAATACTGCCCAATTTTTCCCCTCTTTTTTTTTTCCATACAAAATAATTTTTTTATACTTTCTTCCAAAAGAAGAAAAAGAAAAGGATGAGCTTCTCGATTTTGACTTTTTTTTCTCATTCAAATTTTAAATAATCTTGTCGAATTATGCAATCATTTTCTTTTCATAACACTGTAGATCAACGTGATTGTATAATTTTATATATGTAGAAAATGAAAAGGCTAAATTCAGAACAAAGAACATTGATAAATTGGAATCCATTGAATGTGATTAATTGAATATCTGTTTTCATTTATTTCTAGGCAATTATTATCCGAATTCGACACCATCCAACTGCCCCCTAAAAAATGAAATATAAAAAAATTCTCATGCATCTTACCCAAGTTTCAAAGACCGCGGTAGTAGACTTTTAACCTTTGAATTATTGGTAGTAAATCATTTATAAATGAAATAGTTGTTGATAATGTTGTATGACGAAATGCAATTGCATGGTGTATTAAAAAAAACATTCTTTAGCATACTCTTAGTTATTAATTAAAATTTGTTGAAAATCATAAAAATATAAGAGAAAATTATTAAATTAAGAATAATTTTTTTAATTAAGAGTGAAGCTCACATTAAATTTTATAATAAATTTTATTAGTATTCCTCTTTGCAATTAATTATGCCACCGGCAATTTTGAATGGGCTGTGGGCCTGAGATGAATTTAACCACTCGATATATACCCCACAGCTCAAAGACAGGAGTTTCCACTTTTTAGGCTTCTACTGTTCTATCCCACACTGGGAAAGCAACTGCCAACCATATGCTGAAAATCAGTGAGTAACCCAATTTATCCACTTTCAACAATCCTTTGACCAAAGCACTAGAAATTCACCCCAAATTACCCAAGGAATCCACCAACACTACTATGCATTACTAGTCATACTAATCTTTGTGGTTAAATATGAACTTACACAATTAAATTACAAATTACCACTGGTGGTAAGATGTTAAAAGCATTGGATAAAATGGAAATGTAACGAGTACATCAAGAGCATGGAAACATTGATTGCTCCCACAGGCATGCATCGGTCAGGTGCAATGGTTCCACACCCCTAAGAAAAAGACCGCAATAAAATTGATCCAACAATTGTTTCCTAGTGACACCTTGTTTATCATGTCTTTTTGTCTTGTTTTTGTTGAAAGAGACTAAAATAAAGCAACAGCTTAACATCATCAATATCATCCAGTGGAACAGTAACAAGTTTGGATGGTTTATCTATAAATAAATTTGTATTCATTTCAAAAATTGTGACAACAAAAGACTCGCCAGCATGCAATGATGGTCCAAGAGAAAAGAAAGCGTTAAAGTTCACACGTACGCTAATAATTATCACTACACAAATCATATCATCGTAAGAAAAAACAAAGTTACAAACGACATTATGAATAAACAGTGCATGGCACGTTCAAGAATCCAATGAGAGGATTTCAAGTTCTCGGAGTCCTTGATTGGAAGCTTTTTTTAACTCCAGAGCTCTCTTGTAAGGTGGGGCAATAGGGGGCTGAACAGGATCCAAGCTCTGATAGGTTCCCCCAGCAACTTTAGGTAGTGGATATGAGCGATCAGAATCATACCCACTAAGGTCCCCACATGCTAGAAATGGGATATACACCTTATTAGGGCCTTCCAACCACCCACTACAACAATCTGCAACCCATATGCATTAATTACTTGAAACCGAAGCCATGAAAATAAATACACATGATGATAATGGAATCAGTAAAAAATTAAATTATTTCTAAGTTAAGATGATTAAGCATAAAATTTATGAAGCTAAATTTTCTATTCTATGATTGCTTATAAGATTGATTACAAGGACTTATTATGTATACCTGTGTCATCTACCCCTGAGGGACTTCCAACCTTCTCAAGAAGGCGATGAAGATCTTCTGGATTGAATCCTTCAGGAGGGGAATAGTTTTCACAAACAGCAAATGCCTCTGCACGGGTGAAACAAAAAGAAATAGCACAAATAGTATTATCCACCTTCCTACCATTTTAAACCATCTCACTGGCATAATTAGCAAGATCAAAACTAGCTTAGACACCTGTAATTGCAAGGTGTTTGGAGGCACAGGAGCTGTATGTTCAACAACTGGTATATTCCAAGTTTATATACATTTCTTAAGTGATAGATTAGCATCTGTCAAATCTAATTAATTTTATGAGTTATGACTGCCAATTCCTAACCAGTCTCACGAATGCAAATTCATAAGTGATGGCAAATCCTCCTATATAATCATAAAGAAACTATAAAGAGCTGAAAAAGTACGCATATCAAAAAATAGCAAGTAGTGGGAAACTAAAATTTTTACCAATGCTAGAATTACGACTGCTTTTTGGTTTTGCGAAAGTCACTACGGGGAAAAATAATTTTAGCTGCAAACAAAAAAACGACAGAGTGTGTGTCATGATGATTGTAAAGCTGCTACAGAAAAAATTTAAATTCATGAAAACTAAGAAATAAAATAAGACCAAGGCACTTTCAGAGACAATGATATGCCTTTTGCCACTTGCCAATTATTATGTTACAAGTATTTAGCAGAAAGTAGAACAGCACAACAATTTCACAAATACAACTAAAATTTTGGATTCAGCCATGAGTAGGTTCTAAATCCCAACCAGACAGCATACTCAGTGATGGAATCAATTCATACAATTTTTCTTTAACTTATGTGATTGTACTTTCATTTATCAAGAAAGCAACACAATGGTGTTCCTTTTCTTTCAAAGTACAACTATTTTGTTAGCACCTTAGTATCCAATTGCCTCATCATTTCCCTTCAAAATTTTGGAGAAAGTAGTAGCACTGTAGCAGTGAGTTTTGTCATTCCTTTTCCACAAAAAGTCCATATTTGTATGATGATCCAACACCCAAAGTCAGAATGAATAGAAGTTGCGAACATTTGAAAGCAATGGAAGTAATCCAAATACAACGAAGATCATCTATTTCGCTTTTGAGAAGCTGTTGCAAAAGCTAACTGAAAAGTGCAATACATAAACACAAACATACTTATGCAAATGTGAAACTATGCATATACACAAGTCTCCACTTCCTCAAATCTTAATGGTAAGGGTAAACTTCAAATACCTGACAGTATAAAAGGCTTGTATCCTTTCCTCTAAATATCTTTGCAATAAACTTCCCTCCTTCCTTAAGTACATGAGTAACAATTGTCAACCCCTGCAGGGAGTAACTAGTTAACATCAATCCGCAACCAAGAAGAAAGCCATACAAAATCATGAAAGTCTTTGCAAATCAATGTGCACCTCATTCAAAATAGACCATATAATGTGCACCTGTGAAGCCTGGACACCTCTATGCAATGGAGTGTCCAGGTATTTGACATTGGTGTGACATAGGCTAGACACATGTCAGACACCAGTCTCCAGGTGTCCAAATTTAAAAATATTTTTTGACGGTTCGGACACGTGCCAAACACAGATACCAGAAATTATATTTTTAAAAAAATTAATTGGTTGAAAGATTAAAAAATGTTTCGTCTGTACGTTTACATTTCAGCTCCAAAACTTCCTCCTTTCTTCCTTCTCCCATGGACGACATTGTCTGTTAACTATTCTGGTGTCCCGTAACTCACCTGTTTCATCCTCCTCTATTCGTTCTGCCATTGACCAGGAGGTCACGTTTTGCAGTGTTGAACTTCTAGTTCTGCGACTATGAAGGCCCATTGCTTGCCATTCACCATTCTCCAGTCCACGTTCATCCCTGTTCTCTGTCTTTATCATTAATTTGTTTCACTGCTTTTGTTTCTGTGCTCTATCCATCTAGTAATTTTTGTTAGGATATCATATGAAAATTGTAAAATCTAACAACTTTGTCTTGAGAAAATGAACAAACAAATCCTAATTTTCAATTTAGATTTTTGTCAATGTTAATCATATTGAAATTTATATATTTAAGTGTCTTAGACTCTTAGCCATATATATATATATATATATAAGCGGTGTTCCAGTGCCTCTATATTTTGGACATCAGCAGTGTCGTAGTGTCTGTGTAGGAGTTGGTACTTCGTAGCTGTGCACTAATATGTGCTTGATAGAAATGAGAGTAGATTGATTGAAAATAAGCGAAAATCAGTAAACCTTGCTTTGCAAAAGTGTAAAGAAATAGATAAAAAAACGTGATCATTGATTTTATTCCCTCCAAATTTTTTAACATCCCCAGTTTGCATCAATGATAATGTGAAAATGTACAATCCAGATGGCAAAAAGATAAAAGGTGCAAGTAACAACAACAAAAGGACAGGAATTAAACACTTACTGCAAGTATGAGTTGGGATTGTACAAACTCATCCATGTCATGAAGCCCAGTAACTGCAAAACACAAAACTTGCTTTCTTAAACTACAAGTAAAATAAGAAAAATGCTAAATATCATTAGGAATTTTTCTACAAATGTATTTCAATTGACATGATGAGAGATAAATCGATTCTGGTGGGAGTAATTGGTGTTTGAGGCTTGAACCAAAATGTCACATAATATGTAGTTTTTTGTAAACATTAGTTTTCATGTGAAATTGCACTTCTCTAAACATAAATATTGTGTATGAAGAGACTATGAAATTAAACCAAGCATTTTCTTTACCATCAGGAGCACCATCACACACAACCAGGTCAGCCTTGCAACCATCAAAATGTCCAATGACCTGAAAAAATCAAGATGGAAAAAGCGGGTTCACAAACTTTAGTACAATACTCATGCAAGACAATTTAATTGATGTGGAAAAGCAGCCTCCAATAAGCAAGTTCTTCTATGTAATTCTTTCAATTTTCAACAAAACCGTAGACTCCAGCATAAGAGGATCATTTTATTAATATCAAAAGACATGCTTGCACAAGTCAAATACATACAAATTGAGTTGATTTTGTAATACTGGAACTTAACCCTTCATATTTCCATACTATGGTCCAGTTTGGATTACTCAAAAAGTACTAATTAAAGACAAAAATTAGAAAGTAAAAATGAATAAAATTTCTTCTGTAAGTTAAAATCAACTTACGCTCTTTTACTTTTTTAAAAGTTTTCACTATTAACTTCTTCAAAAGAATCAAAACATGGGGTGCATAAATTAATTTTAACTTACGAGAGGAATTTTAATTATTTTATTCCTTATTTTCTTCTCCTACAAGTACTTCTGCAAAAGTTTACTCAAATTGGGCCTATATCTTCTCATTATTTCTACCACTCCCAAAAAAATGTAACATGTATGCACCAAAAGCAACTGGCTAAAAAAAACGAAACAAGTAGTATCCCAAAAGGAAGCAACAAATATACAGTTGAAACTCGGATGATAGAGAAACCCATATATTAAGGGAAACTCACTATGCATACACAAATTTCAATAGGGAACCAAAACTAAACTGCTAATTAACACTGTCTTTCCAATACCTTGCCTTCATTCACATAAAGCTTAGATAAGCAAAAGTGTTGAATATATTTTCTAATTTTACTGAGACAAGCAGCTATACCACTTCAGCAGTCCGAGCATTAGTTATATCACCCTGCACCTGGATGACACCTTCAATTGGAGCCATTGGCTGCAAATCAATGGCTACAATAAGAGGAAGATTTTGATCCCTGCATATCATGATGCAGCAAGAAATTGATGATATTGACAAAAAGGGAAACCAAAGTTTGATAGAGCTTAATTTTAATCACACGTCTCAACATCAAGGAAACCCTTAAGTAGAGAATTTCCAAAGAAAGTCAACTTACTTCACATCAGGTGCAAGCTTGGCTGGGAGATACAATTTACGACTCAAAACCTGTATGAATTAAGTATTATACACTTAAACAGACGGCTATCAAACAAGACCTATGAATGTATGGTCTTGCCTCGTGAATGCATGGTAACAACTTAGATATCTTGTGTCATTATTCAAACTTCGATAATATATTTCCATGTGCAACAAGGACCTTGCTTCCCATTCGTAATGAAGCTAAATTTTTTTAGTAAAATAGTACATCATGATTTTTTATTTTTATTTTTCTGGTAGAAGCTAAAGCATCCCAAAGTGTAAAAGAAATGTGAAACAAGTGGAATGCCTGTTTGTTCATTAACAGTTCATAGGTCAGGTCAGTAATAATTTCATCAGTAGTACCTGACTCCAGCTACCTGGGGCAGCACATAAATCAACAACACGCTTCACTCCTGCAAAAAAAAATAATGAAAATTACTAGTTTAGAAGCTGACAGCAAGAATTTGAATTTGTGCACATTCTGTATTTATTATATATGCATGCACATGTGCATGTTCTGTAGCTCAAGACGGTAGAAGAAAAGGCTTGATACGAAACACAACCTTTCATTATTTTTAAGACATTAAATAATGCTCATTTTCTATATATTAATGACAGAGGGCAATACTAATTTTGCTAATACAATTGAACACAAACAATCAACCCCGGGCTCCCATGGACGAGATACACACCTTCAAAAATGTTGAATTCCTCGTCTATCTGAAGAAGTTTAAAGGCACTTCGAGCACGCCAGCCTTCTTCTTTTGCTTTCCGGTAATATATATCCTGAAAACGAATTTAACTAAGCATGAAAACATCCCCACAAGAAAAAGAAGAAGAAAGAACACTATGATAAATCAACCGCACCCTCTTATCCCTTGAAGCCTTGCCCATCGTTTATCGCTTACTTGCACTGCCACAAATTCCAAACTCAAAATCCCTAACACCAATAGTAAACACAACAAAATGAGAAATTATAACAAGGAATTTAAACAAATAAAAAAGAGAAAAATCTGTTTTAGACCTTTCCTCAAACATTTGCTGTGCTACCAACATAAACCCTCCCTTCAAATTTACACACCTAAAGCTTCAAAATTTCTGAAGCCCCAGATTTAATACTACTTTCATAACCCATCAACATCATCAAGTCAGAGAATTTCAAAGTAACAAATTTCCAATACAGAAATTAAAAAAAAAAAAAACGCACCTTTTGTGCTGAATTGAACGATCAAACCACCACCGTTGCCACAACTCACTCACTACCAGTACAGCAAATTCAGAATTACAAAATCGAATTATAAGACGGGGTTCACAATCTCGTACTGTGGCCGAGGTGAACGAAGCTAGCTAACGTTATGTTAGGTTAGGAATATCTGTAACTGAATTGGGTAATTTTGTGACAGTAACCGGGTCAACCCGTTTTCACACCCGGTTTTATAACCCGTATTGACATGGCTGGGTTGGAGCAAATGAAGCCTCAGAATCTGAATCAGATAGCAATTCGCGCTCAACAACAACTCATCACAAACCCTAATCCCCAATTGTTGAACCCATTACTAGCACTTCTAACAAGCTCACGAAATGCATTCTTTCATCTCTACAACCAAATGCTCTCTCACCCTTCTTCCCACAACCACTTCACCTTCACCCACGCTCTCAAGGCCTGTTCTTCCCTCCACGCGCGCTCCAAAGCCCTCGAAATCCACGCGCACCTCATCAAATCCGGTCACTACTTCGATCTCTTCATCCAGAACTCGCTGCTCCACTTTTACCTCATCCACGACGACGTCGTTTCGGCTTCGCGTTTGTTCAGATTCATTTCTTCACCCGACGTCGTTTCGTGGACCTCAATGGTTTCGGGCCTCGCCAAGTGCGGCTTCGAAGCAGAAGCCATTCGCGCGTTTTCGTCGATGAACGTGAAACCCAATGCAGCTACCCTCGTTAGCGCTTTGTCTGCATGTTCGAGTCTTAAGGCTCTGAGATTCGGCAAGGCCATTCATGGTTATGGGGTGAAGTTAATTGTTGATGGGAATGTTGTTTTTGATAACGCAGTGTTGGATTTGTATGCAAAGTGTGGGTCTTTGAAGAATGCAGAGAAAATGTTTGTGAAAATGTCTAAAAAGGACGTGGTTTCTTGGACCACATTGTTGATGGGTTATAAGCGTGGTGGGTACTGTGAAGAGGCTTTTGCCGTGTTCAAACAAATGGCGGTTGATGCTAAAGCTGAGCCTAATGAGGCAACTGTTGTAACTGTGTTGTCAGCATGTGCTTCAATTGGGACTTTGAGTTTGGGTCAGTGGGTGCATTCTTATATTGACTCAAGGTGTGATCTTGTGGTTGATGGTAATATTGGGAATGCTTTGCTTAACATGTATGTCAAGTGTGGTGACATGCACATGGGGATTATGGTTTTTGATATGATTGGGAATAAGGATGTTATCTCATGGGGTACTATTATTTGTGGCCTAGCTATGAATGGCCATGGAAAACAAGCTTTGCAGCTATTTTCACGCATGTTGGTTCAAGGGGTTCCTCCAGATGATGTTACTTTTATTGGCCTATTGTCTGCATGCAGCCATGAAGGTTTAGTGAGTGAAGGGATTATGTTCTTCAAAGCCATGAGAGATTTTTATGGCATTGTGCCGCAGATGAGACATTATGGTTGCATGATAGACATGTATGGACGTGCTGGTTTGTTTGAGGAAGCTGAGGCCATCCTTAGAGGCATGCCTGTTGAAGCTGAAGGGCCTATTTGGGGAGCTCTTCTTCAAGCCTGCAAAATTCATGGTAATGAGAAGTTGTCTGAATGGATTGGGGAACATCTTGATAAAAAAAATGTTGGTGTTGGGACTCTTGCGTTACTGTCTAATCTTTATGCTAGTTCTGAACGATGGGATGATGCTAATAAGGTTCGTAAGACTATCAGAGGCACTGGACTGAAGAAGGTAGCAGGATGTAGCTGGGTTGAGCTTGAAACATCTACCAACAGATTGGATTCAAATTTATGTGTTGCCTAGTGGGCCTAAGGGGAGGATCAATGAAGTTGCAAATGGATAACAGTACGTCAGTACAACAATGATATAACCTCTCAAGGTTGAAAATGATCTGTCTCAACATTGCTATGTTCATACATATACTCAATATGAGGTTTATTTCATCCGCAACATTTCTATGTTGATACGTAGACTCAATATGTTATTTATTCCATCCTTGTACAGCCTAGTTAAGTCTTACTTTGTGTGTGGATTGGCGATAAGCAGGGCAATCCAATAACATTGATGTCCAGTAAGTTTTCTCTTTCATTTGTACCTTCTGGAACTTGAACAATGTACATGGGCTACATTTAAAAAGGTATCTCGCCCTGTAGATTTCTTTTATACAGTTTGCGTCTTTTTAATATAAATAAATACTTTGATTTGTGTGTTTTTTGCCTTCAAAGCTTTATGCTTTTCTTGTTTCTTGATAAAACTCATTCACCATTGTTATCTGGTTTTCTGCCTCATTGTTTCTGAAAATTTGTCTGCTTGTGTTCAATCCTGATTCTGTTCGGAGCTCTCATCCATAATATACATTAGATCTAGGAAAGAAGAGGTAAATATATCTTTAGAACAATGAGCCTAATGTCGAAAGCCTTACATTTTTCAATAAATTTCTTCTATTGTAAGTTCTTTCCTGAAATTGCATTGCTGCAGGAATAGATGGTTACGGTATTGCTATGGTAATAACTACGAGTTTCTGGTGTATTTTTTGAAGTAGAACTAGTAAGGAAAAATCCCTGACATCTGAAAACTGAGTATTAATCACTGAACAGTCTCTCTATTAGGTGCCTGGACCCTGGAAAATTGAGGAAACTGAAACATCTGAAAGACCATATTGATAAATTTTCAACCTGTTTTTTTATTCAGAGGAAGAAGCTGCCACTTACTTTAAGCAAAAGGTAAATGTAATTGCAGTTATTCGTTAAGGTAAAGTTAATCGCAGACCTTGGCATAAAGTCTCATAGAAGAGAAAACTACGTGGAATGAGAGAGAGTAATAATGAAATAAAGAACGATAGACAATAAATATCATTCATTGAATAAAAATCTGTGATTTCTGTCTAAAAAAATTTTGTGTAGCTAAGATTAAAATTTTGTGATAATTGGCTTGAGCTGGGTCTTGACCACTAGATCCAAACATATAAAGCCCAGTGAGCATAAACTTAGGCCTAATATTGATCCTGACCATGAACACCCTTAATCAATAAAGGAGTTTCATTTTTATCTGCTTTAATTACAGGGTAAATTTTCTTACGTGTTATTTGTTTAAGAAGTAAATACCTGACTCCCACGGATCGTCTTTTATTCAACTAAATTTGCAGTTTTTTTAAGGTTAATTTTTAAAACATTTTTGAAACAGGGTGATATGAAAATAAAATATTAGGTACTTTGAACGGTAACAGAGTTAATAAGTCAAAGCAGAGTGTGCAACACTGTTACACTCTCGTGTATGTAGGTCTAATTGGGAGGGTACCACACACCAGAGAATATCATGTCATATTTTGGTATGCAGCACTCTTTTAAAACTTTAGAAGAGTTATCTTTACCTGATACTGGTTGTGTTTGTTTTAAACTTATACAATTTAAAAATTTTCATAACTAATTTCGCACTAGCAATGAGCGAGACAAATTGTAGTAGTTTAAAAATACTTTTGACAATTCAAAATTGCTTAGTTTAAAAGCTTTATAATTTTGAAAGCAGCTAGAGTTAATTTAAAAAATAAATTTAATTTTAAGTTTAGTTTTAAAACTAGTTTTAGTTCCATTCTCAATTTTAACATTTTAAAAATTGCCATGTATTTTGGTTTAAAAAAATAGTTTTAAAAATTATAAAACTTTTAAAATTGTAACAGTTTTAAACAACTAAAAATTAGGTTCAAATTGGCAAACATATCTTACTTTTCACTTAGGCGTGACTCATTTAAAAGGATATCACAAAATGCAACATATGACTTCCTTTTGTGTATAAGTGTTTTTGCAACATAAGCCACACTGGACTGTGACACATGATTATGATTAGCTTTTATTTGTTTTTTAAAACACTTTTAATGTTTAAATTACTCATTTTGGTATTTTGTTTTCATATTACTTTTTAAAGAAAAACATTTTTTAAATTGACCTTTTTTTTTCAAAAATCCTAAATTTGTCTATGTTAACCCTAACCATGAGCATGTTTATTTATTCAACTAAATTTTATTTATTATTAATTCACTTCATTAATGATCTCTCATTTTTATTTGATAAAGATATCACGAGACAATATTAAAATTAGTAAAATTAATTACTATTTTTTTATTCTAAAAACAACAATTTGAAATAAATTAAAATTTCATAGTGGTTATTATTTTAGAGAATGTATTATTTGTGTGTGTTTAGGTTAATTCACTATTTCTGTGTTAGACACACCTTTCATTTCTTTCTTTCTATCTTTTACCTTTGAGATTTGGGCTTGAGGGCAAATAGTTTAAATAAAAATTCACACTATTGACCAAAAGAAAATGTTGTAGAAATTGATTCCATTTGCAAAAGGTTTATTTGGAGATCTCTAAGAGACAGAAAATGTCACTTAATTAGTTGGGAGAAGATCTGCAAACCAAAAAAAAATTGAGGGTCTAAGATTTAGGGTTTTGAGATTGGTTAATCATGCTTACTTTATGAAATTACGTTGGAAACTAGTTTGTCATAAATAGAAATTTTCTATTGGAAAATTTCATTCACCTAGTAATAGTCAAAACTAATCTCACTTTTGGAAGAATATTCTGTCTGTTTGGGATTCCTTTTCTAAAGGTTTAAGTTGGATTATAAGAGATGGGATGACTACTAGATTTTGGAAAGACAATTGGGTGATAAATCATCAAAATCTTCATAGTCAAGCCCTGAATTCTATTCCTGAGGAAAATTGGAATGATCCTGTAACCATTTTTTCTCTGCATGGTAGTTGGGACTGGTCCCGTATTAAGAATTTGTTACCTGAATCTATGTGTGACTCCATTGTCCAAATAAACCTCCTAATTGGACAAGGGGTTAGGACTTGTTTTTCTGGATATATTCGAATAATGGCATTTTCTCTATAAAATCTGTTTACTCCCTTTTGTCCAATCATGATAATGTTGTTAGTAATCTATTTAAACTTGTTTGGGGCTAGGAAGATCCCTCTAAATTTTTTTTTTTTTATGAAAAGTTGCTCATGGTAGGCTGTTAACTAATTATGAAAGGTATATTTGTGGCATATTTAACTCTTTTATTTGTTCTAGGTGCAAGGATGGAGAGGAATATGTGATGCATGTTCTTAGGGATTGTTAGTTTGCAAAGTATGCTTAGAATCAATTTGTTCTCCCTAAAATTTGGTCCTGTTTTTTTAGTAAAGGCCTTGATAGCTGACTTGAATTTAATTTAGATAAACACAATAAGTTTAATTACTCTTACTAGAAGATTTTATTTGGAATGGTTATTTGAAACCTTTAGAAGAATAGGAATCATGATATTTTTTAGAATTTTCCTTTAGACTCTACCTCTCTGGTTCATAGAATTAAAGTTGATTTTAATTTTTATCTCTTCTGTGGCAGATCCAATCAAAAAGCTATTTCGGCTGGAATGGAAGTCCAGTGCCTTACTAGATGGATTCCACCTCTAGATTCGCAGCTGAAATTGAATGTGGATGGAGCTGGTTCTCTTTATCATGGCTCAGTTAGTTGTGGAGGTCTCCTTAGGGATAACCAAGATTGATTTATAGCATATTACCATAGTACTTTGGACCTTTGCTCCCCCTTAGCTGCTAAACTTTGGAGAGTTTATTAGGATCTCCAGCTTGTCATTACCAATAAGCTCTAATCTGTTTGGGTTGAATATGATTCAAAGGAAATCATTATCTTGATTATTAAATTTTATAATTGTAATAATCCGCTTACTATAATTAGTGAAATTAGGAACTTAGTCAAATCTATTCGTTTTATTAGATTTAGCCATGTATTGAGGGTGACCAACTAATATGTTGATTGGCTAGCTAAAGTTGGGACTTTGTGTGGAAGACAAAATTTCTTATTTTAACAAGGTTCTCTCATTCTTATTTTCTTTTCTGCATTTAGATATTGCTGATTCTTGATATCTTAGGATAATTACTTGGTTTATTTTCTATATCTTGAACTTTTTAGCCCCGTTGAATATTAAAAAAAAAAAATGCTGTGTTGAGTTACAACAATTGTCTCTAACTGTAAATAGATATTTCCCATCGCTATTGTCCAAATTGGAGTTAATTATGTTCTGCCTTATGACATCTTGAGAATAAAAGAATAAAATAAGGTTTCCGGGATATTTTTGCAGTAACATCAACTGGCCTATGTGCAGCAAGGTGGCACATGGCTTTCACCTTACTTGCCTTTTCTTTTTGTTCATATGCATTGTGCTTTTAAGTTTCTTCGAAGTTCTGACGCATCATTAGGATAGCATTGCAATCTTACACTTCTTTAGTGAGGGACCCATTCATTTGGATAAGGTTAAGACTTGGGAGTGGTGCTACATGTCAAGTGTATTTTATTTTATTCAACATATACACAGCTAACGTTAACATAAATAGGTTGCTAGGTTCCAAGTGTATACCTCCAACCTAGCATCGTATCTGTCTTAGGAGTAGTTGGAGAGTATCCGATGAAACAGTGTCTGTCACTGATATGCAATGTATGAAAAGCAGGCACTAATAATTTTGTGGATTGAGTATTTTAAGGATACCAAGGATTTTTGGCTCAAATAAATCTATGATGCACATGGGATTTCAATTCAATTTTTATTTTAGACGTGAAAATATGCTGTTTCATAATTTACACATTTTGTATCTTTATATCAGCTTAGCGTGTATTTCTTAGTAAAATTAATTAATTCAAGTCCACTATGGTAAATTGGATATTGAGTTCACATGCACTACTGTACAGTTTACTGTTTGATTGAGATTAAGTTTGACAGTAATTAATTATGAGAATAAAAATTAAAAGTTATATTTCATTAGTAAAAAGTTACAAGCTCTATATAGACTGATTTTTTTTTTCAATACAAACAATTATTTAACTATTAATGGAATTTTAACTAATTATCACAACTTTCTTCATCATATACAGTTTTCTAAATATAAACTTCATTAGCAGAGTGGAGATAGCATAGAATAACAAAAGATAAAGCTATATGCAGTTTCAAAGCTATAAGCACGACCAATAGTAACTCACACAGCCTAACTTTTATACTACTTAGTTGCCGTTTGTAGTATTCTTAAACAGTTGAAATCAAATTAATTGAATCATAGTTTATTTCGTACAGTGCCCATGTTTCAATCGGGCGGACAAATCTGATAAGGCATTCTGCACTGAGTTTTTATGTTTAAAAATATATATTATTATTGTGAAATAATAGATTAGAAATACTATGCGTAGAAGAAAAGAAATGGTAGAAAAAGACAAAGGATCTATTTAATATATACTTTTATATAATAAAATATTTTTTTTGAAAGAGTGAAATGAATTTTTTTTTTATTTTACTTTTTCTTTCTTCGATACCTGCGGACATTACGGTTGTTTAGTTATTTTTTTATATATTTTAAAAATCACTAAAATTTAATTACTTGAGGTTTTATTTTTATTTTTAAATCTCAATTGTATATTGACATATCTTTAAATCAAATGATAGGATTATATGTAAACTAACAAATTTAAACTTTTAATATTATAATAAATGTATAATATCAAAATATTATAACACAATAATAAATTTTTATTATTTATTTAAATAAATTGATCTAATAAATTAAAAATTAATTTAATTTATTTGACAAATAAATTTGATCCAACATAAATATGATATATTAAACTATTTATTTTAATTAGAGAGAACATTAAATAAAATATTATAATATTTGCTTCAATATTCATAGTTTAAAAGTTTATTCATATCCACTTTTATATTTATTTGATAATAACTTTGACTTTCATATTTTGTCCATATCTATATATTTTTACTTGTATTTTTTATTTACAATTTATTAATTATTATTTTTAAATACTTTTTAAAAACTATTAAAGCATAGATATTATTATAAAATAAAAAAATTTTAAAAACACCTCAAATAAAATATAAAATTATAAATAAAATTAATTATTTAAAGTCAAAGATAAACTAAATTAAACAACTTTTACTCTTTCACTCGAAAAAATGCACAAAATTGTAAAAGTTTGGAAAGGGAAACTAACTAATAGAGTTGATAAAATTTGTCTTAGCTCCTTCTTTTTTTTTTGTCTCATATAAATTTGGTTGTTATCTCAATCTATTTGTCATTATATCAATTAAGTAGTTAAAAATTTTATTTAGTCTTATAATAATTTAGGTTATAACATTCATATGTTTGATTTAGACAAAATTACATTTCTTAAAAAATATTGTGACTTAAGTATTTATAATATGTGAATAGTTAATATCTCTCTTGTAGGTATATTTTTGTGAGATATTTTATAGGATGAACTTAGATTATAGATTCAAAACATAAATGCTAATTATATGAAAGACAATTTACTATGGACTATTCAACCAAACCCAAAAAAATCTCTACACTTTTGAAAAGTACTAAAAAGGTATGTAACATTTTGAGATATAATTTTATGTTTTAGCTTAATTATGATTTTTTTTTCAGTATGATACTTTGATTGAACTAAACTTAGCTTAATTACTAACTTAATCTATTTCATTCACATTTCATATTTAAACCTCTAAGATATTGAGTTATTTGTTTATAACACTTAAAAATTGGATTACTTACCATTTGTATTTCACGACATATCAAAGTCTATATACACCTATTTTGCAAGATATTTATTATCTCTTGTAAAGCTTCTCTTATATATTTATATATTGTATTGTTCATTAGACAATCGAGCTCATTTTAGAGTTTTATTATACTTTTAGTTATATATAGTTTATATACTTCGTAGTTTATTTGTTTATTTTTTTATCAAAAAATAAAATATCAAATCTTAATAAAAATTTACCTATAAAATTATAACAAAGTTATTTATATAAAAATTTTAGTTGTAGTTTTATATATGTTTATAATATATGTATTTATATATTTTTATTTTATAAACATTAATATGATATATGAATATAAATATTATAATATCAGTAACTATTATTTATTATATCTACTTATCTAGACTCAAATCTATTAATCATAATTAACTTATTTATCATAGAATTTTTTAAGAATTCTTAATATTATCAGACTTATTGTCATGTTGAATAACCTAATCTATTCAATTGCTAAAAAAATGTGTTAGTGGCAGCTAGCAGGCATATACTCTTTCTTGGTCAATGCTTGTGGGCAGACGTTGAAGTGTTTGGAAATTCATCGAACACTAGACCACTATCACTGTTATACTGTAAGTGACCTCTAATACCCAAGAAAAATTATCGACTGTCACTCAACAGTGTGTTGAAATAAATTGTAAGAGAAGACGTGTTGTTAGCGTTCTTCCTCTCCATTATTACCCGTTATCATCGGTTTGTTTCAAACCCCGTAGCACCTTCAAGAAATTCAACATGTACAGTGACAGTGCTTCAAGAACCAAATCTTATTCATTCATCACCAAGATAATCAGTGAATTACGCGTACCTCTCTTTTTGTGCAATAAAGAGTCGTCAAACAATTGGCACCGTCGTCCTAACGTTATTTATATTTAAAATAAAAAATTTTAAGCTAATAAAATTATTTATTTTATTTAAAATTTAAATATATTATTAGATCTTATAAATGTAGGTTTTTATGATAAATTTTTATAAATATTTTTACTTTCTATCAACTAGTTCAACGTTTAATAAAAAAAAAATTAACAACAAGACTAAATCATAAATTTATAACTTTTAAAACTTATTTTTTAACAAAAATATTTATAGACATCTATTACAAACAACCTATATCATATTTAAGTTTTTAATTAAATATTTTAATAATTTTTTATCAAATTTAACATAAAGTTCATTAAAATAAACTTATATAAAGATCATAAACTGTCTCACGAGTTAAATAATCTCTTTTAACCACTCTCAAAGTATACTATAATAAGCACAGATTTAGTTAAAAGTTAAGTTGCAGTAGACGTTAAAAGTCAACGTTCTTTACTTCTATGGGATTACTTGAAGACCTAAATATAAAGGAATCTCAGAGGGAGTTCAACCGATTTCTTTAATCTATTGGATGAACCAATCATAATACTCTACTCTGGCAAATTGATCATTCCTACTTCCTATAATTTCTTCAGTTCCAAAACTATGTAACGTATCACATTTCTATCCAATAAAGTATTTTTAAACAATAACTTGTTTTAACAAATATATGCTGAAAATAACTTATTTTAATAAATTATACCAAAAATCTTACTAAAATAAACTGAAAAAATAATAACAATAAAAGTCAGAAGTTTTCCATAATCTCTTCCAATCAAGCTTATATGGTACAAGTACTCACATTGGACTAAGTCTAATATTGTGTACTAGTAGAAGAACAAAAGGTCTTCAGCCAGTGATAATTCGCTCAATCTATCAAGTTTGCATTCATGCTTCTTTACAGGGTATACTATAGAGAGAAAGAGAGATAGAAAATAATCTCAACTGCTCAATTAGAAGACAATAAGACAAAGAAGAAAGCAGCAAAAGAGAAAAAAAGAAATTCTGTTCAAACATTTGTCTGCCTGCATCTCTTGCCTTCTCAATCTCGGGCTATTACCTCCCATCAGCTGATAAGAATTCGGGTATGCATACAAATTTTCTGGGTTGCCAAACACGCGAGCATAAACCATCTCTCCAAACATCCCAGCCACAGGGTGGTGGTGGGATCCTGGACTCACGGTGGCACCAAGATTGAGCATTTGTGAAGTGGCATTCTCATCTTGGTATGAGCTGAAATATTGACCCTGATAAGGATTTCGATATTGAAGTTGTTGACCATCTTGAGATGATGTTGCCAATAGAGCTTGAGCACTTGATGCAGGTGGTCTTGGTGGAACAAAGATATCACAACAGGATGTTTTCCCTTCAGCTGTGGCCTGGCCACGGCCATATAGTGGAACCATTGTGCTATGGGATATGTTAGCCTTGCAAACAGGGCATTGAGGGTGTTCATCAGGTCCTAGAGAATCACTTTGAACATGGAGCCACTTGTAGATGCAGGGCCAACAGTAAAGATGCCCACATAGGGTCACTACCGGTTCATGTGCAAAGTCTAAGCAGATATTGCAATCAAAACAACCATTGGAATTTTCTGTCTCAGCCACAGCATTTGGGATGGTTTTCAACTCCTGGGAAAAGTAGTCCTGAAATGCCATGAAAATCAAGGAAATCCTTTTCACAATTTCGGTGACGCTTCTAACCCTGGATATGCAAGAGAAAACCAGCTTAATACAAACTTAAAAAAACAAAAAACTGGGGAATCAACTTGATAGATGAAGTCAAGAAGAACTGAAACTAACAATGGGAATTGAAAGTATAAACCAATTATGATTTCACCAAGTTGTTGTCCAGCAAGAAAAAGAAAATGCCAATAGAAGAAGAAAGAGATTATTAAAGGTGGTTATTAAATATATTGGAACAAGAAAGAGATTGTCTTGATATGGATTTCAAGGTGGGTATTAAATAAGTAAGAGATCCACTCACCAAACCAAGGACTAAAGATCAAAACCAAATAAACTCGTTCATAAGCTATATTAGCCAATAAAGTATTACCATTAATGCATACAAACGCATACTTTTCCAATTTCAAATTCTTTCTCAACCAAAACAGCAAGTAAACCAAGCTCATTTCTACCAAGTGCGTAACAAAGATGGTCAAATCTAAAGTGACAGAACTTTTATGGTTCCTCTGGTCCACAGTAAGCAAAAGGCACATCAGATCTATCCAACAATGGCTTACGTATCGAGAAAAAGAAACCAAAAATAGTGGAAAAATGCATGTAGGCATACAACCATGACTCTATCACTTGTCTCCCCCAGCTAAAACTCTTCGGAATCCACTTGTCTCCTATAAGATGCCATGGTCATGTGATTGTATGAAACACCAACCACCATATCGGAGATCAAGGCAAGCAGTGGAGATGCACCACTAGCTCAAAACGTTGAAACCAATGTTCACAATAATTGCTTGATGTCCATAACCCAAAAACAGAAAGTCCATAAAAATTGGCCTTTTATGTCTCCCTCTCCTACATGCTTATCTGCATATTGCCTACCAGGAATTCCAAAATAATAGAAAAAGCATTACAAGGAAACGAAAATGGGGCACCACTGAGTCAACAAATCTCATTAGTGATTGAGTTTCAGCCTTTCAGCTGGTGAATTAAGGGTCCATCATTGCCCACTACACAAACAATAAAGGTCAATGTTCAAAAGCAAACCAAAATACAAGATCTACACAATACAAATTAAATCAAACAAGACCATCCATAGAACCCATTAATATATTTACAAAGAAGAGCTTGCAAAGGTTAAAAAAAAAAAAAAAACTTCATCATGGTGATGGATGTGGAGGTTCTCCAAGCAAAGATTATGGGATCCAAGAGAGAAAAAAGCATAACAAAGGAAAAGAAAACACACCCAGAAAAAGGGAACGGCTTTGGCTGCTTTGGCTATGTGAGAAATTTCTTGAGGAGTTTCAATAGGAGATGAAGACAGAGTGTGAGTATGGATATGTATAGTTACGGGGAAATGCTTACTCAGGGAGCGAGTCAAAAAGGTAAGCAGTTCCACATTTTTTGTTTTCTACAAAAAGTACATTCAGTGGAGAACAACTCCAGTTACGAGGGAGGAAGTAAATGTTTGGAAAATATTAAACTTAATGGAAATATTTTATTTAATATATTTTTTATAGTTGTAATATAGTAATTTTTTTAGAAAAATGATTATTTTTAAATGGTCAAATTTAATTTTAAGAACTAAGTAAACAAAATTTTAAAATTTTTAGGACATTTAACAATAATATATGGAAACTATCTCGCAAATCCCAATTGCTTTTACGTTGAGGTTGGTGAGTTTGTGTTGGAATTCACTTCGCATATTTAATTCCTTATCTTCCCTTTACTTTTTCTTTATCATCTTTAAATTTTCTTTTCTAGTTTTCTGCTGGATTCATTCTTTTATTTCACTCTTGTTTCCATCAGAATTTTATAATTTCCTTGTTTCTCCGTATTTTGATTTCACTCTTCGTAGTAATTTCTTGCATTTCTCACATACCATGCACTTTTTTTAATGTCATAACGTTATAAACAGTGAAAAAGAGTCCTATTATATCGTTTGTTTTATTATTTATTGATGTACACTTCAAAAATAATAAATTCAATTAAAAAATGGATAAAAAAAATATAAAATTCACTGTCTTTTCATAATTATACGTCAAAACTTATTTTTAAACTATACTATTTAAAATAATTTTTAAATATTTTATTTAAATGTAAATCACTATATTTTATTTTTCGTAAAATTAATTTAATAAAATTAAAATTATTATAAATGAAGAGCTTAGAGTTTTATGTAAATATATACTCAATCAAAATTCAAGATCATGCCATTCGAAAGTAAAATTTACTTTGTTAAATTTATGTCACAACTTTAAACTATTATTAACCTGATATATTTGTTAGATATTTTTTTATGTTTTCATATTATTACTCAGATAAAATTTAATAAATAATGTTTTAATCATATTATACAAACTTTTAGTTTATATTCGACACAAATTAAATTTTTATTAATATTTTTAGATATAATTGATATTAAGCTATTAGCATTTTTTGTAATTGGTGTCGCGTTGGGTGAAAAAATGTGTTTGTTTATGTAGTATAAATTATTATTTAACAGTCATATGATTACGTGAATAAAGACAAAGTTGTGTGAACTTTCAAAGTTACATGGCCATGACTTCATCCACATTAGTTACCTTTTCAGTGACTCGTGATACTGGTTGTCTTATGACTCATCAGTTTAGATTTCGTTGTTCCATTTCTTCTTCATCCAAAGAACGTGAATAAAGTTGTTCTTTTGAATTAGCAAAGAGAAAGGCTTCAGAATAAGATGAAGTAGAGTAGATATAATGAGAAAAGAGAGTAATGTCGAATTTGAAAGAGAAGATAAAAAAATAATTTTGAAATTATAAAAATTGAAAATAAGATTAAAATATAAATCTACTTAGAGGATTACAGAAGGCATGTATACTCCACAAATTGAAGGTGCATTACAGCACAATTATCTTTTTAATAGAAATATTTGTTAGGTATGATATTGTTTTTCTTCGATTCATGAGGTTTTATTTAGATAATTTTTTTGAAAAGTTTTTATAAAAGGATTAAAAGTTCTTTTAATTATTTATTTTCTTTAAAAGTAAAAAAATAAGTTTTTTTAATTTCTAAAAAATTTATTGAATTTTTTATATTAATTTTTTTATTTTATAGAAATTTGTCAAGATGCTGAATCAAACAAGGTTTAAGTTAGTGTTTAGCCTAACTTTAAAATTCCTCTAACTCTCTTGTATATTCAAAAAATGGACCTGTGTAGTTTTTTTAAAATTACTTTTAATTTTTGAATATTTTTTAAATTAGGATAAACTACATTTCATATCCTTAATTTTTGTTAAATTATATTTGATTTTTTTTTACTCTATATAATATCTATTAAATAATAAATTTTAAAATATATATATTAATAATAGGTAAAAAAATTTAAAAATATAGATTTTTTTTAATCACGCGTATTATTTTATACAGGTATGTATATTGTTCATCATTTTTTTCCTCAAATTTCTAATTATATTTTTTTTTCTTTAGGTCCGTGCAAGATGGGAAAAGATTAGGTAAAAAAAAAATATTCTAATTAATTACTATTGAGATTTAGAAAAACGGTGAAAATTAAAATTAAAGGAAGTTTGTGTTTTCATGTAGGATTATTTATTTGTGAGTTTGATGGAGGAGAAAAAATGTGAGATTTTTTAAGGAATTAGTAGATGAAGTATTTTAAATTTTGCTTGTTTAGAATATAATGTAGATATTGGTTATTTAAAGTTAATTTAAATTTTGGTGATCAGGAAAGGAGATGTAGAAGTGAGAAATTTTTCATTTTTTGTTGTTTACAAAAAGAAAAGAGGGTTAAAGAAATCTAATCAATTGCACTAAAAATATCATTTTAGAAAAGGTTTTGGCTATAAAATGCAATATCAAGTAAAAATCATGTGTTTGTTATACCAAATAAAAGATTTGAGGGAGAAAAATAATAATAAACAATGCATAGACTTAAACAAAAAGATGATAAATAATATAAAATAGCACATGTAATAGGAAAAAAAATTATTAATGAAATTAATGTTGTTATTAGAAAAAAAACCTATTTAAATTTTTTTTTAAAATTAAAAGATTAAAATAAGTTAAAATAAAATTAAACCACAAAATCAAATTTAATTTTTAAGTTAGATGACAAATACTAATTTTATCAAATTAAAAATATAAATTAATTTAAAATCACAAATTATTTATAAAATTAACAAGAATTAGATGTTTTAATAAATCTATGTGAGTTAAATTTCATCATACTTAATTGAATTGAACTAAAAAAAACTTAATTTATCAGAATAAAACATCAATAATAACTCAATCTATATCAAAATAAGTCTCAATACAAATTTTCTTTTAAAATTATGTTGGGTCTAAATCTCCCTTTAAGGAAAAGTGAAATTCAAAAGAAAATAAAAAAAATATTATCTAATAAATTATTAAGATAGTTTTCAACTGAGAAATAATTTTGAATTAAATAGTTATATTTTAATATCAAGAGTTTGTGAAAATATAACACACTCCGAACTAATTACAAATTCCAAAAATATAAAGTATCAAAAAGTAAAACACAATAATCCCACGAAAAACAAAAGACCACAGAATCTCATGAAAACGTTTTTTTTTTAATACTTTTTTTCCCCCTGTCGGGTTGTGAAAACATATTTAGCATGAGAAAAGTGGCAAAGCATCAAAGGTAATGATTACAATGTCGGACTTATTAAGCATGTTAAGATAAAATGTGTTTTATGTCTTATTTGTGATTTGCGATTTTTTATTATTTTTATAAGAACTATTTATTAAAATATAAAATTTTTAAAAATAATTTCTGTGTTTGTAGTGAATTTCAACGGTTCATAACCAAATTGCAAAATTAATGTAAAGGGCAACAGTGGTAAGACACCTATCTTTACCCCATTTCCTCATTTAATTTAACTTCTCTTCTTCCTTGTTTGTATCATTACACTTCAAAAATAAATTAGCTTTTAGTTCTTATTTTTAAGCGGCAATTATATTAGTACAATCAATTTTGTATTTACTGTGAAGTATGATTCTATTTTGTGTATTACTATTTTATATTTTGGTTTTTTAATAAATTTGATTCAGTTTAATTGTAAATTTATTTTTTAGATTGTTAAAATCTTTTTTTTTTGGTAGTGAAAATCTTTATTCTCTTTATATATTTTATTTTTAAATAATTTTTAATTTTTTTTTTTTTGTTTTTAGATATAGAAAATATTTTAAACTAATATGTTGTTATAGTAATTTATTGTTAATAAATTAAATAATAAAATTAAAAAAATTGAATTCATTAATATTAAATAATTTTTTGTTGAGGAAATCAAAAAATAAATATTAAATACTTTAAACCGGGAAAAGTTTTAAAAAGAATTAGTATTTTTTATTTAATTTAAAGCTAGTAATTTGTATATAGAAATAATATTAATATGATTCTCTTTTAAAAATAATTATTATTATGAATATAATTATAAAATTATTATTACAATTATATTATTATGGAAAATTATTATGATTATTATTATATTTATTAAATATAGAATATTATTAATTAATTATTACTTATTAGTATTGAGAAACTAGGAATTTATTATATAGTTGAAATCATTTTACTTCAAATAAATTAATTGTTTGTATTAGTTATAAGGATTATAGTTGTTATTAGTATTTGTATTATTGAATTTATATTATCATTATTGGTAGATAAATATTATTAGTATTTTTATTATTATAATTATTATAGAGTGCAGTGATTTAATTATTAATTATTAGTTTATTTGTATTTAGATATTAAGAATTTGTTAGATACTTCTTTTTTCCTATATAAAGGGATAAAATGATACTTTATTATTATTAATTTAAAAAATAGTAGTTTGTATTTACAAAATAATTAATACTAAGTTATATAATAATTATTAAAATTAAGTTGTTATTAAAAAATTTTATTAGTTAATTATTACTATTTAAACTTTTATTCAAATGACATCATTTGAAGACAGAAAATGGTTATTAATCTTGACTTAGAGGATCTCTTTTTATTGCAATTTTAGAGTATTCATGTCTTGAAAATTTATGGGATGGTTGTGATCACCTTGTACTGAAGGGAAGAAAAAGTCAATTTATTCTTATTAGCTTAAGGTGTTCTAACTAATATCATTCCCACTTTAGATGTTGTGGATTTGGTTGAAGTTTTCTAACTTTATTATTTTTCATTGAATTTAGCCTCAATCACTACATTAATAGAGATGGAGACTAGAGACGTACACATTCCACTCCCTAAGAGTTTTTTGTTATTCTTCAAGATATTGTGATTTTGTTAGGCTTAGAAATAAATAACAAACTAGTTATAAATTGTAAAATGATTAATAAAATAAATATAATTTTGAATTAATGATTGAAATTGCTTACAACATGATAAATGAAATAAATATTATATATATTTGAAGGTTATCGCCCAATGTATGGATTTAAAACTACATCTTTTTATACTTTGATGGTGATCAAATATTAAACAAATACCTATCTTTTAATTAATCCACACACAAATTATAGTTAAAAATTTCTTCATGCTAACAAAGTTTTTCTTTCAACAATGACAAATATTTGAAAGACATAGTTATTTTACTCATGTCGTAGCAATCAACAATGTGTTACTATACTCACCATATAAAAATGTGCCCTAGGTCTATTACGGGTTTACAAAAGTAGAATGCTTACCAACATTGTCCAAATGAACAAAATAACCAGTGAAATAATTTAAATTTATTATTCACCTAATGATCAATGACATAATTGTTAATTTGAATTTTATAAATAGATTTAAAGTTGTATTTCTACCCACAGTGGTCCAAACTATATAGGATACCTATAATTTCCTCAATTTTAATTCTCATTATACAATATTTTAATACAAATAATCACAAGTATACCTAGTCTAACTGCACAATTGAAAATGTCAATATCATTTAGCAATAAAAATGATAAATATAAATTCAACATATGTGAAGGTACTAAAGAACTCTCACCAAACATAACACATATAATGCAATTAATGTTTTCATCTTTACATATATTCAAAGTATTGTATTGTCTACCACTTATATCAACTAAAAAAATATAAAAATAATATAAAAATAACATGATTGTGACTAAACTTATCCCTCATTTTATTTGAATTAATTTTTTGTTTTCTTCAAAAGTCACACTTACATTTAAATTTTTTTATCATTCTAATATACAACAATAACAATTCTACTTTTTTTTATTTTAAAAATACTATTAAATGAATAACAACTCCACATAATACTTTAATACAAATTAATTTCAAGTAAAATTAAAACAAATTCTTTTACTTTTTGTAAGTTTAAATAATTTATAAATTTGTTACATATAACTATTCAATTTAATTTAACTAACAAAACTAACTGATATATTAAAAATTTATTATAAATTTTTAATTTGAAAATAATTATAAATTTTGCTAATATGATAGAAATTTCTTTTAAATTGCTCCGGTCAATGTTTGCAAAAATGCAAACTCAACAATGTTTATATAGTAAAAAGTTTTCAAATAAAAAAATGTAACTACAAAATATTTAGAGGATAATATTAAAGTCTAAGGACTTTTACTTTTGCATTAAGCAAGACTTGTGTCGTTGTTATATGACACGACATTTCTCTCACTAAGAATATTTAAAGTGAAAAAAATATGTAAAGTAAAAACTAAAATAAAATTCTGTCAATATTAATTTAAATCTAAATTTTTAATAATATGATTAATTTCAAATTAATTATAAATAAAGTTTAAGCTTTTTCACTTTTTCCCAATTTTTCACTTTAGAAAAATCATAAACTCAAGATCCACCTTCTACTTCCACTCCACATATACCATAAAAAGGCACTCAATCTTGTATGGAAGAAGTTAGGTCAGATAAATGAATGAAATTGAAGTGACTGAACTAAGAAAAAAGAACCAAATTAACGATTTTCAGATGAATGGAAGACAATTATTGAGTCGCTCCTATAAACCTAACAGTCAATTTAAAAGTGATTGAATTCGAGCAGACTTTCCCTTTGATTTTAAGATTCAAGTAACTTCCAATTTAATCCGGAACTTTTAAATTGTTACAAAAATTCATTCATCTCAGGCATTTTCACTGCATTTTTGTTATTAACATTAAGAAATAAATTTAAGGGTTAAAATGAATAAAATTTTAAATGTCAGAAATTAAAGTAAATGATACTTACAATCCGTAGAACAAAAGTGGCACTCATTCAAATAACAAGTCTTCTTAAATCACATTTATGGGGAAAAAAAAGGTCGCGTAAAAACTGAGCCAGAATCTTAGGTCTTTCAGGATCAATAACCAGAAAATCCTGACTGAAATCTTGGCATGAAAACTGACTGCTAATGATCTATTAAACTCACTCAAGTCTAGTGCATTGTCGAAAAAATTATCTCATTTCATTAAATTGTACAAGAATTGAACTTATATACTATCATTGCGTCTCTGAGTTAAGAGAAGTACAACATACCAGAGTCAGTTCCCAAGTATTGCAAATGATTCAAAGAATCCAATTTAGATAACTTCTTTTATACAACGTAAACGTTATTCATCAAACTGGAGCTGGAATTGATGGTGAGTTGGAAACACATTTTAAGAACCAAGTAACCGTTACAACATTTAATGCGGAGCCCAGCAAAAGAAAAATTTGGATGTATCCAATCCAATAGGATCTCCCCCTTTCAAAATCGGTCGTGAAGGTTTCCTCTCATCTGACTCAAGAAGTTACACCAAATAAAGATAAAGAAGGGTTTCCATTTTCAAATTCTATAGAACCCCTAATCTAAAATAAAATAAAAGGTGTACTCTTTACTGAAGTTCTCAATATAGACTAAGCCAACCGAAACTTCGCTAACCCATATCTGCTTAGCAATTAAGAAACAAGCTTTCGGGTTTCCAGTGGTCAGAAACAACTCTTCCATTATATATACAATGCTTGCCTCCGTCAATATTAGTTTGCTAGGAGCCGAGCAACCTTGAAAAGAGAAAAATGTAAAAATATATATATATATCAAACCTCAGATGAAAGGGGAAAAAACAGAAAGAACTGTCGTCCAAACTAGTCGCTCGTGACTTTTCCAATACTTGAAAGGCTCCTGATCTCGTAATTTATCAGTCTTGAAAAATAATAGAAAATCAAATTATCATACGTGCTCCATATTCCCAAGAGGTGGAAGCGTGGATAAGATAAGAATAGCGTCTATGCTCAATTAAGTTCATCAGGCTCCTTTCTTCTTATGGTCTTTCGTAGATTTGACTTCCTTTGTAAGCATCCTAGGAGCTATGGCCATAGCCATTAGCTCTTGGAAGAGGAGTTTACAAGCATAAGGAATATAAACCTACACAGACAATCAGAAGTCAACAAATGACAAAACCTTGTATATAATGATCATTCACCTGTAAAGATAAACCTACATAGCTATGGACTAGCGGACAATACTACAAGTAAAGATAAAATGATCATTCACCTGAACAATGTCAGTTTTGTTCTTGCAACCCCTGCACTCAAAAGAATTCTTCTTGAGATTTGCAATAGCTATCAACCCACAGCGCTCGCACACATGAACCCTATATGCATCACTTTGATCAAACAATCTTTCTTTCAGGAAGTGAGCAGCTCCGTGAGCTATCATGCAATCCCGTTCCATCTCTCCAAATCGAAGACCTCCATCACGTGAGCGTCCCTCAGCAGGTTGCCTTGTGAGGATCTGCACAGGACCCCGTCCACGAGAATGGATCTTATCATCAACCATATGCTTCAGTCTTTGGTAATATGTAGGGCCAAGGAAAATCATTGCACTGAGACGCCTCCCTGTATGACCATTGTACATGGTCTCAAAACCACGCATTTGGTACCCACATTTGTGTAGAGCTTTACTGATATTATCCACCTGATTTCAGCAGTACAAGATAGAATTCACAGAGCAAAAAATACGATCAAAGATGTGTCTTGAGATAAACCAACAAAACGAGAGTTCTGCTATCATATGTTGAGGAATCAATGTTACTGAAGCCTTTTATAAAAGATATAATTCACACACCATAATAGACACTTGTCCTTTGGTCTCTAGTAAACCACATGATAAGGTTTGCAGTTAAATAGGGAATGACATATTGCTTAGTCCTGGGCAGACAGTTTTTTATAGGCATAACAGCTTTCTCACAGGACATAACACCAGAACACAAACTGCCATAGCAAGATCCAATAGAAGCAACTGAAGTAGCTTAATTATGGGAGTATTTCCAATTTCTAACAAAAATTTAGTTGTTACATGAAAGAAAATTGGATGAAAGAAATGCTACTCACTGTAACATCTGTAAAAGGAGTTGCATCTCCTTCTTTTCCCATGTGAGCTGCCACCTTCCCCATGATACACTCAATAAGCTGACCAATTGTCATTCGAGAAGGAATAGCATGTGGATTGACAATAATATCAGGAGTAATGCCTTCCACAGTCCAGGGCATGTCTTCTTGTGTATAAGTCATACCAACTGTCCCCTTCTGACCATGTCTACTACTAAATTTGTCACCAATCTGTGGTATACGAACAGATCTCACCCTTACTTTCACAAATCTCAACCCATCAGCATTTGTTGTCAGTAGAACCTACAATTAGGCAACAGTAGAATCCAATAATGAAAAAGTAATGCAAAGAATTAAGGATTTTATAGAGATATAGACATTTTATTTTTGTCAAGCAACTCCTTATTTTGTAATTAAAACCTCCCATTTATTAAGTTAAGCTCCCGTAACATCGACACCAAACTCAATCCGTAACATGTGAAAGTAAATATGATAATCTTACTTGATCAACAATTCCAGTTTCACTATGGCGTAAGCTTATACTGTGATCACGTCTTGTGTAACGTAAAGCTTGTCCTTGTGCCTCATCCTGAGATATTGGAGTGGTCTTCCCAATAATAACATCCTCACCAGACACTCTTGTTCCCTATTTCATAGTAACAAATTATGTCAGTTCATATCAAATTAATAAAATTTCATATTGCGACAACTGACAGCATAAATTCATATATGCTTACAGGGGGTGCAAGGCCATCATCATCCAGCTTATCATAAGAACCATGCCTCATACCCTGTAAAATGGAGATTGTTTATTATGAACCATGAACGCAAAGCAACATTTTCCCTCTTAGTGGGATAAAATTGCAAACAAAATTAATTCACCATCAAAGTCAAAATCCTCACCATGGTGTTAGCTCTATCTGGACGACCAAAATCTTCTTTGACAAGGGTTCCCATCTTCTTCTCTTCATCTCTGTAAAAGTTAAAAGCATAACATATCAAACAAATGTCAATCGAAAATAATGAATGTCGAATTATGAACAGCACACAGACCTGTACGAACGGAAAAACAGAGACCGAAAGAATCCACGGTCTATTGATGATTGGTTCATGATCACAGAATCTTCTTGATTATAACCAGAATAACAGGCAATGGCCACAATGGCGTTCTACAAAAGGGGTAAACATATTAGAATGTTTAATTATCAACATGATGACAAAATGAATATAAATAAAGGAAGCAAGAATTTACAATTCCAGCTGGGAGTTGACGGAAATGAAGATGCTCCATGGCTCTTGTAGTGACCAGTGGCTTTTGAGGATAGTATAACACATAGGCCAATGTATCCTAAGTAATGGAGCAAAACCATCAAGTACAGTCCAGTATCAGGCACATTAATCATTTAAAAAAAGGGTGAACAGTACCATTCGAAACTGGTAGTTGGTAACATATATTCCCATTGCTTGTTTTCCCATTGCAGATTGATATGTATTACGTGGGGACTGATCACACCAGCCAAAGGTAAGTGAGAAGAATGACACGTTTTAATCATAATGAGTACACAAAATATAACATATTTACCTGATTGTGATCAGGAAATGGTATGATGGAAGCGCATACACCAAGAATCAGAGATGGGTGGATTTCACAATGAGTGTAAGTATCAGAATATGCATCTTCTGGATTGATCCTAGCTTGTACAAGATCCTATAGCATTTTTCAACAATCATTTTCTTTTCAGTGTCTTGATTTGCATTAATGAACTTGTATAGTGTATACACTTCTCAAATCTAGAACTATAGTACTAACATTAATTGTCATGGAAATCATTGTAGTCTCTTCTTCTTCCGTGTCAATATATTCAATAAAGCCCTTGGACACCAGATCATGCCATCCACCATCTTCAGGGGATTCCTGAAGAAATTAAATAACAAGTTAATCAATTACTGAAACAATATCAGTTCCTAAGATATGATACAGTTACTACTGGCTCACCCTCTGCTGCAAAGCATGGATATCCTTCTTCTTTATGAGAAGCCTTTGCTTATCCACAATGAATAAAGGACGACTGCAACGACCATAATCTGTATATATACGCAATTCTTTGAGACGGATATCTCTGACAACCCCAACTTCAGTATTAACATCAACCTGCACCACATGAAGAACCATTAGCACCACACAATTATCATTGTGTAACATACAATCAATTTAAATCAATCAAATCCAAGAAGAAAATCAATAAATAATGACCATTCAGATGGGACGGTAAAAAGGTGATCAATAAAAAAAACAGAAAAATTTACCCCTACTATGGTATGCTCTATTATATAATGAATAGTGAATACTCTGATAAACGTGTGGGCGCTCATAATATGCAACCACAGTTGGTCTTGTTGGGATTAAATTGTGGACCCAAAACAGAAAAAATGAATTACTGCTTCTCTAGGTGGTCAATACTGTCCTATAGCAGCATTGCGTCTTGTTGCAGCAACTGGCCACTATTCTCACATCATCTCGTCACGTTTTAGTGTCATGGCTGTTGCCCCTGCTATAGCAGCAAAAACTGCAGTGTTAAGCACACCAGGGCCGCAATGTGGAAGATGATAAAAACTCAAATATTCCCTAATTTTTTAATGTTCGTTTGGGGGTATTTTGAGGTTTTCATGTCGCAATAAAATGGGTTTCAAAAGGGTTCTCAAGAAATGTCAATCCATTCCACTTCTGATTTTTGCACTCTCCTCTCTAGTCTCTGCCCCTCTAATGACCATGTGACTCATCAACATATTGCTCTTCAACAACTTTCCAACCATGTCCTAGTATTTTCCAGTCAGTACTTGGTGCATTCTGGTTAACCCATGCTCTCTGTTCACTGATTCTGCATTTTGGGTGCCGTGTTTTCCCTTTTGTTCTCGGTTCTCACTGTCCTGCTGGGCGCTGTTCTCTCCTTTTCATCTTCATTTTTCAATTATCTTTTTCTGTGTTTTTTTGGTCATGGGCTTTCTTTTCTTTTTTTCTATTTATTTTATCTGAGTGCTCTCTTTGATCTAATTTTTTGTTCTCTCAAGTCCAAGGGGTTTTTTCACATCTGTCTCCCAAAGACACAGACTAATTATTTTGTCTAAGCTCTCTCTCCTTGCTATTTACTTGAATGTTTTGTTTAAGACTTGTGACTTCTTATTATAAATTATGAATATGTCATGAATTTTGATTTTTTTTAACTTTTTAAGCATTTATATGTATATAGTATAAATTATGTAATCTGTATGAAAATTTTCAGAGTAGCAGCTGTCCCACTATGCCCCTATACCATTATAGCACTTTTAGGGTCAGCCATTATGCACCACTATCTGAGATCGAAAACTATGATGCTTCTGGCTTTTGGTTCTTCATATTCAACACTCACTATCATTTATCTTATCTGTCAAATGGTTCATCTATGCCAGAATTGTCAGCAACTTCATATATCTCACCCAGAAAGTTATGCATATAATATCATGTATCATCCACCTCATGAGAAGGGATGCAAATGCACAAGATAACAAATGCAACATGGGCTTCCACTTGTTATGCATACTATTACTAAATCATGATTTATGATTAATTTTTTGGGGGAGTGGCGTGGGGATTGCTATTTGCCGACAGTTTCATTCAATGATTCAAACACAATTTCTTTCTTGGCTGTCAAAATAAATCAGAAAGTGAAATGAATAGTTACCCGACGTCTCAGCTTTCTCAAAGTTCTCACCAACATATCAGGGTCACGATGTATACCCATCCAGCAACCATTTACAAAAATTTTGGTAGCTTGGGGAATCACTGCAGGAGAAATTTCCTGTGGTGGGAAAATAAAGAAATTTAAACACACAACATAGAGAAATAGAAAAAAAAAATTAACTTAAGTATGAAAACCATAAGCACCTCAAAATTTTCAGTTCCCCATTCTTCCAAAAACTCCAGAATAGGATATGCTGCTGAACCAACTGTGATGTAAACCATCAATGCCAGATTCTTCACCAATCCACAGGCCTGTATAATGGTCCAATCACATATAAATGCCATGGAAAAAAAATGAATTTCTCATAACAAGCAGTAATACAGGAGTATGCTTGGAAAGCAAAACACATACTTGTCCTTCAGGTGTTTCTGCTGGACACATCATTCCCCATTGTGAATTATGCAGCTGTCTTGGTTTGGCCAACTTCCCTGAAAGAGAAGAGGAAGGAAAAACCATTAAAAATTGCAATTTAGATAAAAATAATAAAAACAATGCTGCATAATCTGAATTAATCTAAAGAAACAGGAGGGATACTACCATATTGCATTAATGGTATTAATTTATGCAAGCAATTTTACCTTCACGCCCTATGGGGGAATTCAATCTTCGCAAGTGAGATAAAGTGGATGCATAAGTTAAGCGATTTAGCACCTAAAACAGAAGATTAAAAAGATAAGTGTTATTTCCTCTATAGAAGACAAAGAGCAAGACTGTTACTTGAATCATAGAAGAATGCAAAAAAATCATATTCAAACCTGTGAAACTCCAGCTCTAGTCCCTGCGGCATTTGCTTGCCCCCAATTACCAGTAGCAAGTGAATATTTAAGTCCACTTGTGATGGTTTTTGCTTTGATAGCAAATTGTAGGTTAACATCTTTCCCATTATCAACACACTGCACCATTCATGGGGTATAACAGTTTAGGGAATGGAGAATGAATATAGCAAAAAACTTGCTTTGAAGTCAGACATACCTTCTGTACATAAGCCCTGACATCTCTAGTTAGCTTTCTGAATAGCTGCATCACAAGTTACAGTAGCCAGGAATTCAGAATCAGAAAGTTACTGCATAACAAGACAAATGATGTTTGGCACAGTCAACTACTAGAGAAACAAACCATTCTAAAGAGTCCACCAAGTAAAGGACCTGCCAGGTCCAGCCTCTTGTTACCATAGTGATCCCTATCATCTTCAGCCCTCCGTCCAAGTGCACACAGAAGTAGCCGATGAATAATATATCTGTGGGGGAATGGGAATGATATAATAAATACTCACCAAGTCATCGAAATGAAATCACAATATCTGAGAAAGAACGAACTTACCCAAAATAGTAAGCTTTCTTGGTTTCACAATATTCTATAACACCAACATGAGGAAGCATCTCCTTTTGAAGGATCTCCTTAGCATACCTGCATATTATGATATAAGTGTAACCTTTGCTCAATAAAGGGTACACACAAATCATCCTCAGATTTTATAGAAATCCAACTCAACTCACTTAATTCTCTTTTCCCTGGTTACACCTACAGTTGCTCCTCTTTTTCCAATGTAGTCAAGTGCAACCTGCAGTGGAGATAAATTTATTAGAAAAATAACAAAATTGTCTAATACTAAATACATGGGAGTATAAAAAAAAACTCCACATCAAATAATACAATATTTCACTAATAATAGTTCTGAATTGTCAGAAAATAAAAAGAAATAATCATTCAACTGTAAAATCAAATGACACCGCATGGAAGGAGAAAGCAGTAAGAAAGAAATCATGTTGCAATATATGAAAGGAATAGTCAGAGACTGAAATGGGCTGGGATCGAACAATGATCTCACTAGAAATTATTATAAATTCTAGATATACTAGTATTAACTCGGCTAAAAGCAAGTAATATATAATAGCATAACCCACCTGTTGATTTTGAATTACAAATGCTTCTTCCAGGGAAGGACGAAGCAACTCCATCATCTTAGTATCCGAGAAATCATAGCATATATGTTCAAGTATGTCCTTATCAGCAACAAACCCCAATGCTCGAAACACAATAATAATGGGAATTTCCGTTCGAATGTAAGGAAGAGTGGCACGTATATATTGCCCCGAAGAACCCTGAAGGATTGAAATGCATAAACTCAAGACATCTCATTTCATGATACATATAACCTAAAATAACAACTTGCGGAAAAAGGCCACAGTAATTTGCATTACCCCTTTGGAACTAGTTCGAGAGAGCATGCGCACAAACATAGTACTGGGGGGTCTGTTCTGGGACTCTGCCATGGAACGAACTTCAGCCACATAGGCATACTTGTTAGGCTGCCTCTTCTTGAACACGTAGACATGATTGGTGCTCATCTTCTCCTGAGCAATCAGAACCTTCTCACTCCCATTGATAATGAAATACCCACCTTGATCATACGGACACTCTCCAAGCTCAGTCAAATCCTTCTCCGAATTCTGATACAACGTGCAATAACTAGACCGAAGCATTATAGGAACCTAACCAACAAATTAAAACAGTCATTGAGCATTCAATAATGAAACTAAAACTCAGCAACTATTTAAATGGCGAATTGAGAAAGAGAGAGCGACCTTGCCGATGAAAACTTTGGTGAAATCCTGAGTCTCGGTGACCTCTTCCCCATCGTGTCCTTTCTTTATGACTTTCTTGGAAACATCAACATACAAAGGAGCTGAATATGTAAGGTTTCTTAACCTAGCAGCCTTCGGAAACAAGGTCGCAGTTTCTCCGTCAGACTCTGTCATCATTGGCTTACTCAAGTAAATCTGACCGAACCCGATCTTGTAAATAGTCTGCCAACAAACGCAATTCACCGTTAAACTCACAATCACAGTGCAGAAGAAGAAGATGGTGACGTTGTATTTAAACCTACCTCGGCGAAATCGGGTTGGTGACCGGGATTATGCTGCGATTCAGGTCGAATTTCAATGTCGGCAGATTCATCGACGATTTCTTGCATAGTGTTTTGAATGAACTCGTCGAAGGAATCGAGTTGCTGACGAACCAAACCTTTTTCTTCGAAATACGCGGATATCACTGCCCAGGCATCTTCTTGGGTAATCTCTTCGTCATCGTCTTCTTCTTCCATCATTTGTTGATCATACTCTTGTTCCTCTTCCAAATCCATGCTTCTTCTTCTCCTTTACAATTTAAGTTAGGTTTGAATTAAAGTTTTTGGCTCTTAAATTTTGTTTTGTTCAGTGTTGGGATTAAGAAAAGAGGAAAGAATGAAAGTGCTATGAGTGAAAGTGAAACCCTAGCAAAGCAGTACCCAAGTTTTTTGGTTTGGATTCATTCAAGACAAATGTAGTGAGAGAGTGGCCCTTTTATATGGGAGAGGAGCGGCTCATGGACTTGACTTTCCCGTACGTAGAGAACCGGGAACTCCTAAGTCGAACCGGACACTGAACCGTTAAATAAATAATATAAATAAGTACGAAAACATATGTATGTTTGAATTCATGGTCTGACAATTTAAAAGTATTTAATCTTACTTTTTTGTTTTTTATTAATTTTAAAAATATATAATTTTAATGTACTTGAGTATGTTTAACCAGACATTTTAATTTGATTAGAGGATAATTTTATCTTACAAAAATTGTCTAGTCCATTTAAAAATTGTCATTGACATTTTGATAAAAGAAAAATCGTCATTTGATAATTTTTAGAATTTAAATTGATAAGCATTCATTTGTAGTTGATTATAAGTGAATGTTATTATTGTATTCTTTTTATTTTCAGGAGTTTAATGCTTAAAAAAAAATATAAGTAGAAATATAATAATATACTTTAATACTAAAAAACATATTTGTACGAAATTATATAGATATATTTATATTTTTTATTAATTAATTTAGTTTAAAAATAGTTATTTTTAATGTGACAGAAAAATAAAAAATAAAAATTTTGATTATTTTTAAAATATATTATATATAAAAAATAACTATAACAGTTAAATTTAATTTATATGTAATTTTAAATATTCTAAATTTTAATAATAATAATTTAATTATAAATTAATAAATATATTTGTGTGTTATACAAATTTATTTATATTTTTATTAAATTAGTCTATTTCAAAATAAATAAAAAATTATAATTTAAATATAAAAATATCTAATAATAAAATTTTATTATATTAAATAATATTAAATATAATTATATTAAAAAATATGATAAATATATTTTTATATATAAATATTTTTTGTATATTTTATATATTTTTTATCCTCTTCAATAATAAAAATTATTATTATTTAGTTAATTTAAACATAAAAAATAAATTTTTTAAAAATAAATTAAAGTAAACATAAAAATAAAAATACATAAAAAATATATATCAATGAGTAGAAATATAAAAAAAAATATTTTTCAATAAACAATGAAGTTTAGTATTATACTCTACTACTCAAATAATATCTATTTGAATAAAGTTTAATTTTTATTTTTTAAGAATTGAAATGAATATTAACATAAATTTATTTGATAAATTATGTATAAAATTATTAATTTATGATTTTAAAATAATATATTTAAATTTAACTTATAATAAGTAAATATAAATTAATGACTAATTATTTTAATTTAAAATATTTTTTAACTTTTAAATTAGTATTAATTTTAAGAATATAATATCGTAAATAATTATATCAATATAAAAAAATATATTTATCGTATTTTATATTTTACATATAATTTAGTTTATAATTAGAGAATGAATTGTAAGTCCATTACATGATTAAATATTTTTAAAAAAATTTTAAAGTATTAAAAATTTAATTGTAATCTCAAAAAAATTTCAATGATTACATAATTAGAATATAAAATATTAATATATAAATATTCTTTAAAATTTTAATATTAAAAATATCGAAAAAAAATATTTTTATAATATTTTAAAACTTAATTCATATCTTTATTTGATTGTAGATTTTTTTTCATAATTGTAAAAGAAATATTTAAAATATGAAAGAAATATTAAAAAGTTGAAGAGCTCTAATTTACATATAGATATATAGATATAAATATGGATAGATTGAGATTATTACAAATACGAGTAAATGTGTGACACTTTAAATCTAAGAAGCCAACTTTTATATATATTTTATATAATATATCATTTGAAAAATTAAAGTATTAGCTTAGTTAATATATTGAAGTTGAAACTCAAAAATAGTAGAAAGAATAATCCACAGGTGTCCAATCTCTATTTGAAGTTTAATGCAATACCAAACAATTCCAATAAGAAACAACAATGATATCTTTAACAAATGTTTCAAATATATCACAAGTGTTATTCCTTGACTCTTGTCATTGAATTTTATATACATATATTTTAAATTAGTTGGCATTTATTAAGAAGCTTACTGTGAGGAGAAAAATTCATATGCAAGTATCATTCCAACTAAAGAGGTAGAATAAGAGCAAAACATCGTTGAAAGTAATGATAATGACTTTAAAGGAGATTATAGAAGCGTTGAAAATAATGAAAATGAGAATGTGAATGATGATACAAATGATGAGAACCTGCATCTATCAAACAAGTATTTAGGCAATATCTGTTTGAGGAGCCATCATTCATATGTGTTTTAGATCCTAATGTTATGCATGCATTTACATTTTAAGAGTATGAAAACTTAGGTTCGTGACACCTTATAATTATTTTTGTTGTTTTAATCAATTTTTGTTTGTGTTTGTATTTGTATTTAATAGATCATTGTGATATAAATGAAAAATTGTATGTTGAAATACAATTTAATGACAGAGAAGTTGTCATCCGAACAATTAAGTATTACAATATATCAAAAGCAGTTAACTACATAGAGTTGGAGTCAAAACCAAAAATATTTTATTATAAATGTGTTAGGTATGATGTAGATTATGAATGACATATTCAAGCTAGTTTTAGGAATAGCACATATTTTTAGGAAATTAAATTAAAAAGTATACATGTTACAATTATACTAAGGTAAGAATTTTGCATGATCATAAAAAATTAGATGTAGACATAACATATTTTAAACCAATAGTAAAATTTGACCATTTTTTTTTAGATAAAACTCATGATTGATGAGATTTAGTTTCAATATGAATATACAATAATATATCAGAAAGTATGGATAAAAAAATAAAAGGAAATTCAAAAAGTATTTGGTCAATAAAAAGTCTCATTTAAAGCATTGTTGCAATAATGTGTGACGTTATATCAAGTGTCATGCCTTGATACTTGCAACAGTATTAGGCAACTACAAATTTCTTTAGCATCATGTTGTAAACTATAATATAAACCTCTATAAAAAAAGGTAAGGCATGTTGAACTCCATTGACATTCAACAAGTATCATAAATTTTTATGTAATATTGAATTAACATTAGAAAATGTCTCAATAAGGAAAGTATATATTCACAAGCATGTTGTGCTATTTTAATATTTGAGTTTACAGAGAGTTAATCAAAATGTTGTGTGAGTTACTTTAATCTTATTTTTTATCCTTCAATAATCAACTTAGTTATTCACACGTATTCTATACTGATATGGTATTTGAATTACTACAACTAATTACTAGTAAATCATTGATTCATAATCCAAACAAGATAAAAACATCTTCTAATGTCACTGTAAAAATATGGAATGTATGCATTTGACAAATTTGTGTAATAACATGCCATACAATGTTATTTATTTCAAATCTAAGTATTATTAATAAGTGATAATGTCATAGTAGTATCATCACCTATTACAACAAAAAAAAATAAAATACTAATATTTTAATACAATTAATTTTAAGAAATATATATTTCAATTTTTATCTTAGTTATAATGTTAATAAATTAAATATTTAATATATATACCTATTTTCAATTAATTTTACATTTACTATAAAACTTAATTATAACTTATATATATATATATATATATATATATATTGAATTTTCAAATATTTTAATGATTAAACCAAAGATAAATATTTGAAGAAAAAATTAAAAAATTAAAAACCTAATTAAAGATTTGAAAAACTCTAATTGAAAAACACTACATTGAGTTTAATTTATTAAGTATGTCATATTTAAGACAAAACCTAACTACAAATTTTAAGAGCAATAATTAATAAATTAAAATGAATATAAATTTTAGTTTTTAAATTACAAAAATACTTAATAACTAAAAATACTTTTTTATTAATAATAATTATTTTTATATTATAATTTACTTTTTAGTAATAAATATTTCATTTATTAGGTAATAATTATTTAATACAATTGACAATAATTATTTAAAAAACACTAAATAACAATTTCAAAAAATTATTTTTTTCTTAATTATAATATTAAAAAATTAATAAATAATTTATTCTATATTTTTAATTAATTTAATTACTACTATAACACTTTATTTTAATTGCAATTTATTGAATTGAAATTAAAATTAAAATTATTAATTTTACCAATAAAAATTTTTTTATTTAAAAGTGTTGTTTTTGCATTGATATTAAATAGAAAGAGAAACTCTAAGAGCATCACAGAAAAAAGTTCTTTTGAAAGTTTTTGTTTCCCTAGCTAAGTTGTTACTATTCTACAACTTGCTTCTATGTTTTTAGATATGTTTCTTTCTCAGAAATCTCTCGTTGATATAATGAAATTGAGGAATGGAAAGGATGGAGGACAAAAAAGATATTCAACGAAAAGGAGGAGTTAATGAAGAAAAGTATAAACAAGGTCAAGATGAGACAAGATTTGTTATTTGTGGACTTGTCTAAAGACATGCAAGAAGATCTTGGTCTTAATATTAAGTAGTGTGATCTATAGGTGTATTTAAACCTTATTAACCCTAATGTTTTATCTTATAATAATAAGCAACTAAATATTTTTAATTTGTAAATACAACAATTACAATAATTGATAGATATCAAGTTTTTTAGGCTAATTGACAGTTATTAATACTTGAGATTGTATGATTTTTAGTGATTCTAAGAATATCTTTGGGAGCAATTTTAGGAAGATGAAAGATTTGTTTTTATTTATTGTATGGCTCTTTCTTGTATATTGGTTCTAATGTTATGAGAAAAGACACAAAGTGAAACTATTTTCACAATTGTGACTTATTATGGTATTAGAGCTGTATAAGTTTGGAATCCTAACACGAGTTTATATCTAAACAAAAGCCATGTCAGGAGGTAAAGAATCACCAAAACAAGACCCATCAAAGCATGACTACATCAAAAAGCTGTCACCTTATGACCTAGATTCAAATGATAATTTAGGGAATATGATTGTTTAATTATAGCTACGAGGCAAAAA